TACGTTCTACTCTTAAGGATATTCTACCTATTACTAAAGATAATAAGGATTCCGGCTCTTAGGCCGGCTCTTTACAAGTAAAGGCTTAATCGGTTAGAGCTTTATCCGTTAAGCTATAATTTTTCCTTATACCGAAAGTTAAATTATAGTCGGGACGCTTTCCGCTTTCTTCACCGCTCCTACTCTTTTTAAATAAAAATAAATAATAATAATACCTTCTAATTCCTCTAAAATTCCCGCTACGTTTCTATTTACTTCTTCGGCCTCTTCTTCTAATACCTTTTTATTATTATCCTCTACTATACTTCTATTTATAATTTTGCCCCTCTTTACTTTTACTTTAAAACTGTTTTATTAATTTAGTGTTAATATTGTAAAATCCTTCGCCTTCTCCTTTATATAAAATAGAATTCTCTTTATTGTACCCTCCTGTCTATATAATATAATATTTCTTTCTCTCTAATTTTAGATTACTCTTACCTTGAAAAGCTATATTTAAAATAAAATAAAGTCGTAATATGCCCCGCTTCTATATACTATTACTATTATTACGTATATAATTCTACTAATATTTACTTCGATTATCGCCCAACTATTAATTGTATTTACTGAATTATTTATTAGTACTACTCTCTATAGTTTTAGAAATTTCCGAATTTCTAATCCCAATTTTCTTACGAAGAGGATATTAATATATTCTATTATAACTCCGCTATTTAATAAAATAAAAGAGAACTTCATTCTATAGATTAGCCCTTTAATAAAATTAATATTGATTTTTCCGAATTGCTCTATATTTAAATTAATATTTACTATTTACTTCTACTACTCTAGGTTAATAATATTATAATCGATAGCCTCGAATAGATAAATTCTAACTTATTTCTTTAAAAGCTTCCTTCCTCTATTTACTCTTTAGATTATTGTAATAGACTTTATAAAATCCGCCCTAATTCTTAATACCATATTGAAGAGTTATAGAATATTAATAGGAATGTCTATTTCCACTAAAATCTTTTTAAAGTCTAATAGCTTAATGCTATATTCCTCGAAGCTTTTAATATAAGAATACGCTCGTTTTATTTTTAAAATCTCCTCTACCTTCTCTAAGATCTTTTTAATTTATTAATTTACTTCTTTAATAATATCCTAGGTTATTTACAGTATTAGGGATTTATCTCCGCTCTATTCCCTAATTAGTTTTATTATAGTAATAATTAGGTATAGTTCAATTAGTACTATATTATTATCTCCTATTACTATTAGTTCCGCGGTCTTTAGTCTTATTATTAATTAGAGTACCAGTTCTTTCTTCTATATTAATTATTTAGAAATTCTTAACGATAGGTCTAGAGTCTTTTCGTAATATTTTTCTTCGTAGGTTATAGGTAGTACTACGTTGGGGGCTTCTATAAGGTTCTTAGGGAATTTATCTTTAAAAATATTTCCTATATTAATATTTATCTCCTCGTTAATGTTCTATTCGATAAATTCCGCTTATTTTTCCCTTTCCCTTATTTTATTTAGAGTATTTTCTATTATTACTGCTAAATTTTAAGGCGACCTCTCTTTTAGTTTATAGGGTACGTTTTCGCGGAGGTTGTTTAGTATTCGAGTATTAGTTATTACGTCCCTTTTTAGGATAGTAGAAACTTCCTATTTTATTTTTTCGAATTTAGTTTTTAGCGTTTGTATTCCTTCGGTTTGTACTTTATTCTCAAATATTTAGATTTCTTCTAGGGATCCCTTACAATATTAGAAATTTATATACTAATTTATTATTTTATATATTACTCTTTAGTAATTCTATAGGATATTATTCCTAATATTCTATTAATTTTAGTTCTACTATAATTGGTTTTAGTTTTATTAGCTTTAAGTTTAATTAGAATTTAATATAGTAATATTATTTACTTCCATTAATTATAATCTCTTTCGATGGTTGGTTATTTTGATTTAATTCTTAATTTGTAGGAGGGAATATTGTAAATCTATATAGTTACCCTATAAGTTCATACAATTATTATACTAGTACGTCCTATATAATGATAGTCCGTACTTCCGTAGGTCCTAAGAATTAGAGATCTTAGGTAGGGGACGGGATTAATTATTATTATAATTGCTATTATTATAGTATATACTAAATATCAACGTTTAGTAGTTCCTATTACCCCCATTATTATACCTGGATAGTCTAGAATTATATTCATTATTATTGGAATTGTAGTCCGTATTATTATTATATTTGTTTTATCCACTAGGGTTATAGAAATTTATGTTATAAATTGTAATTATTAGAATTTATAATTACTATTAGTATCTCCTAACTGTAAAGTTCGGGAATTATTTAAATAATTTTACTATATCCTTTAACTTTACTATATTATCTTCCTTACTATCTAATTCCTTATATACTCCTATTTCTACCCCCAATAATCTTACTACCTTCTTAATCTTTATAAATAAAGCTGAAAATTCCTTTGCGCCCGAACCTATTAATAATATATATTCTAACGCTATTAATTTATCTTCCAACTTTTATTTAATTCCCTTATTAATTCCTATTATTCTCTAATTATTTCTTATTATCCTATTTAATACTATACTAGCTATAATAGACTTTAATTCTTTTAATTTAACTCTAATAAATAATTTCTCTACCTATTTAAAATAATTATTTATTAATTCTTTAAATCTTCTTCTCAACTTAATAATATTTAATATAATATTAGAATCCGTTATTTTCGTTTCCTATTTTATTTTCGCCGCCTATATAATATTCGCTTTACTTATTTTTTACTTTTCTTTTAACTCTACTTTCTACTATACTTTTGCGTTACCCTTTAATCCATTTTAGAATTAGATCTTAAATATTATATTTTAATTAATATTATTAATTCTTATTAGGGTTAATATTGCCTCTATTTCTTTAATATATTTACTAATATTATTAGTACTTTATTCTACGAAGTATAGCTATATTAAATTTACTATATTCCTTTACAACCTAATTAGCGGAGGGGGATTTAGTTATAAAATGAAGGGCGAATTTTCTTTTAATAATATTAATATATTAAATAATAGTAATAGCAATACTATTCCTTCCTAACTTCGTAGTAATATTAGTAGAATAGTAATTAATAATCTAATAGGAATTATTTCGACGGTAATCCCTTCCGGGGATATTTTTATAAGAGTTAGTACTATTATTATTCCGAGAAACGATGTTCCTAATTCGATTAAAAGATCTTCGATAGCTTCTAGTCCCTCCGGAATGTTTTAGAATATTACTATAAGCTCCGCGAATTCTACATCCCCAGTATTAAATAATTAATTGTCCTATTCCAAATTAGTAGTATACAAAGCGTTAGCGTACGCGAATAGGTTCTGCAAGCACTTTGTAGAAAGGAAAGGAAATAATTGAAACATTGTAGCGGAGGCTGCTATAGAAGCCCTATAATTACAACGCTAAACCCCCCCGACGTATAATAAATAATTGGGGTTAAATATACGTTAGTATTCCTAATTTGGGTCTATTTATTTATATTAAAATTTTGCTTGATAATGGCCAAAATCTTATAGGAAGTAAAAAGGTACTTCTACTCCGTAATCCTAAATTTCGAAGTATAAATTCGGCTTTACTAAAACTAAACTATAATACTAATTTTATTTTCTATATAATAATTAAAGTATTAGATTAATACTTTAAGGTTCGGGTACCTAAAGGGTAAATCTTCCGTCCGAAGTCTCGATTTTTTATAAATAGGGATATCAGAGGTCTAATTCAGTACTTAAGAACAATATTAAGCGGCGTTCGGATACGGAGTCTAGAACGTAATTAATAATTAGATTGTCTATTCTTATCGAGGGTTATTGAAAGTTATTGAAATTTAATAAATTTCAATATAGGGGGATATTATACGTAATATTAAGTAGAGTATTAATATTGTATTAGAAGGTTGGTTACGGTGACGTTCCTAGTACGTTGTACAGTATGTAAGTAATAAACTTAAAATAAAAAAGAAAAAAGCAATTCGTTTCGTTTTGTTCAATCGATTAGACAAGTCAGAGATGAAGATTGATACTTCATAGGACAATCCAGTATTGTCCACTATAAAAAGTGATGATTTCTCATTGGTTTAAAGTCGGCTAAAGAGTAGAAAGAGGAGAGGATTTAAAAAAACCCCCTCCAAGCTAATTTAAATAGGCTAAGAGTGGCCTGTGCACGTGACACACAACAAGTGGGTCTCAGAACTTTCACCTGCCACCCGAGTTAATTGCCATGTGGACGTTGAATGGAAAGGAAGTCGCGCGCCGCCCCAGGTTAGGTGTCCAGATGCGCCTTTCCAGGGTCGTCGCCGTGCCGGCTTAGCTATCCCTGCCCCTCCATTACACTACAGGGAGCTAGCGTGTGATGACGTTTGTCTTTCTGGTGTACCTGGAGAGCTTCCATTTTGCCCGCCCCCTCTCATACCTAATCGCTAAGCCCAAGTACACGTGTGGATGGGCATAGCCCTTGGTTTTGCTGGGTCCCAGGTCTCTCCCGATTAATCACCCTTACGAGATGTGTATGGCTGGCTGAGTTGAAGATAATTCGAGGAACTGCGCGTCGAATACCCTATTTCCTGATGCTGCAGAGAGAGACGGTACATCGGCGGGGTACGGCAGGGCGGAGCAGTGGTACAATAGAGGGCAGGAGGTACCCATCTTCGCCTCTGGAAACTGCTGGTTTTTGGTCTTGTTCTTACACTACTTAGTGTCATACAGATGCAAACTTAGAAGCCAGAGGTACACGTTAGATACAGTATTCCCTGATTATCATGACGATAAGATACATCATTACAAGTGTCGTCAGTTTGCGGGTTGTTCTTCAGAGTCTAACAGTGAGGCATCGTGTAATTTTACTCTATTACCTTCCGAGTAAGCAAATTTAAAGTCAAGGCCTGAAATTGTGTGAACCTGGATAATATACGCCCCCTTCTCTCTGGTATATTGCGGCGCGGACAGCCGAACAAGCGGCAACAATATGTTTTGGACAAGATATGCTATCAAACTTCAGTCGCTTCTCATACTCATACTCGCTCTATATGAAACACGAAAATATGAAATGCTCCTCCGATGCCGCGGAAAACACAGTCACTCCGCCTCGCATCCAAGAACCAAGACCGTCATGGTATCGATTAAAAAGCCGCCGACTTTTCCTTTCTTCGCATAAAAAGGCCACATAGGCAAGATCATATCATCAACTCAAGTGATCATATCTCGTGAACCGTCTCCAAGAACATTCATTTCTCCATATCCTCCATATGGCCACACCAATCGGGTATCTTGAATTTACTCTCTGCGGTGGGACCTCGACGGTTGCCTCGCGTCATACAAGGCGTCTTGTTCATCCATCGCGCGATGGCGTCTGTACTCTCTCCTACCGTCGTCATACTCGTCTTCTCTATCCTTTCGGTGGTGGCGGCGGCGCTTGCCTTCTTCCTCATCTCTATCATACGACCCGTTTCTCTCATGGCGAACCAGCGCCTTGGCATTCTGCTCGTTTTCGTACTCCTTCCTTCGTTTCTCTAAAGGAAAAGGGTTGTCAGCAATTCCTGTATCTCTTACGATCTGCAAAAAGCAACAGAAAGAACCAAAGAAAGGATGGCGATGCCATGGCGAAGATGATATAGTTGGTATGCTAGGTGGGCATTCGAACGACGAGACAGCACATGACAACACGATGCGGCACGATTCGGAACTGGGTGGAACTCGGCGAGGCAGGCACGGCGGAAACGAAACTACCACATGCGAAAGCACACACGCGATGGAAGCTCGGATCGAAGGACACGCACGCGGGTTAGTCGACGTCGTTGTTCCGTATGCGGGCGGATCACGGTTGAAGGTCAGGAAAAGGCGAGTAGGAAAGGGATCGAGTCTGGAGATAAGAAAATTGAAGCAACCCACCTCTCAACTGAGCAGTAATGTCGGCGTACTTTTGGATATCAGCCTTATCTAAGACCCGGAGCACGATGACAAAATCATCCCGGACCTCAAAACGCTCCTTGCCTAGAGTCAGGGCCTCAGGATTGACCAGCTTCCTGTTGATCTTCGTCCATTTAGCACCCTGAGGTACGTTTTGTTTGGTCTTGTCGTCCTTGTGAGGCGGAACTTCCTCCCGGGCAGGGGGAGGATGCTCTGGAAACTGTGCCTTTGGCTGTTTAAGAATGCCTTTGATAGGCTTCTTCTCTTCTTTCTCTCTCGGGGGAGACACAACGCGAACTTGCTTCTGCCCGTGAGGAACCAGTTCACGTCCCCTACTTTCGTCCACTTCATTCTCAGCCATTGCTGTGTTATCGGCTTCAGTGTTGGGTTGAGAATTATCTTCAACTGGCGCAAGCTTCCGCTCAGGCGAATGCTCCCGCTCAGGCGAATGTTCCCGCTCAGGCGAATGCTCCCGTTCGGGCGAGTGCTCCCGTTCGGGCGAGTGCTCTTTAGGCGTGCGACCACCCTCGCTGGCACTTTCCTTGGCTTCTTGTGCTACCAACTCGGCCTTCAGCTCTTCCAGCCCTGCAGTGTCGTTAGGATCGAAAGCAGACGAAGGACGCGATCGGCGGTGCGTCTCATCATCCTTGTCATCGCGTTCCCTGGAGTGCTCCCTCGAGTGTTCCTGTGGTGGCGAAGAGGCAGGCTCTCCGTTGAGTTTCGCCTCTGTGTCGCGTCTATGGCGGCTTCGGCTTTCTGCATCTGTTTCGGCGCCAGTCTCTTTTTCGTCGGGGAACCCTCCGGGTAGGTCGACCATCTGGAAACTTTCATGGCTTCTCCGAAAGTCATCGCGGCCAGCTTTGACGTGCTGCTCAGATTCATCAACCTTTCGGTCATCTTGATAGTCTTCTTCACGACTAGGCCGAGTGCGAGGCTCGAAATCATCGACCTCCCTTCGACGTTCGTCATGTTCTTCATCGCGATCGTCTTGGCGGGTGTCACGATGATCGACTCTGCTGTGATCATAATCTCGATCTCTGTGACTGTCTCGTGGAAAAGGCTCAGGGTCATCGGTTCTCCGTCGCTCGTGATCATCATCTCTGTGGCCATCCCGTGTATGATGTTCAAAATCATCCACTCTTCTACGGTCATAGTCATCGTCTCTATAATCGGTTCGCTTGTGGGCCTCAATCTCATCGTCTCTCCTGCGATGATAGTCCTTATCCCCGTGGCCATTTCGTGGGCGAGATTCGTGTTCATCAGGCCTCCTGCGGTCATAGTCGTCATCGTTACGGCCCACCCGGGTGTAGGTTTCAGGAACATCACTCCTCCGACGATCATAATCGTCCTCCTGGGGGGCGAGCCGGCGGGGCTCAAGGTCATCAAGCCTCCTTTGCTCATAATGCTCAGCATGACGGTTGGTCCTGGGGTGCAGGTTAGGATCTCGGCGCTCATAGTCTTCCTCATAGCGTCGTCTCGGAGACTCGATATCCCTATCACCTCTACCGTCCCTGCCGTTGATAGCTGATGCCACTGTCATTGCGGATGCAGCTGGAATGTCGCTAATGGGGACATGCTTGTCGCGCCTGATTTCCCGGTCGTCAATGGGAAGATATTCTCGAGTCGAAGGTAGCTTATGATAGTCTCGTCGGTCACGGTCGTCGTGGTTCCTATGCCTGACAAGCTCCAGGTCCTCGTCAGACCTCCTTCTGGGCTCACGTGGGTCTCGTCGTTCGTCGTGATACCGCTTTTCACGGGGTGACCTTCGTCGCTCTTCATGGTCCTTCGCAGCAGGTCGGATGCCGAATCCGCGCTGCGAGATATCGTCATCCTTATAGTAGCCGTCCTCCCGAACTCGATGATACTCATCAGGATGGACTGATCGGCTTGGGATTTCCTGAATGAGGGAAACCGGGCGTGGACGAGAGGCAGCGCGGCGCGATTTGCGCTCTGTAGTCGCCGAAGACCCTGGCAGTAGCGGAGAGTCAAGAAGCGCAGGAGGTCGGCGCACCGCCGTATCAGAAAGAACTTCCGAAGGTGCGGGAATACGAACGCTGTTATGGTCATGCAGTCCGGAAATTGCATCTCGGCCGGGTTTGTCATAGCCGAAAGCGTTTGGTGTTGGGTCGTAAAGCCGCCGGTCAATGGTGTCATATGGGCGTCCTACATCGGATGAGACACTGACCGCCGGTCGATAGTAGTGATCCATGCTTTCGCGCCGGCGCCTATGAGGATGATCGAGATCATAGCGAGCCAATTCACCTGGCTTTGTGTACTCAACAAATGCTTCTTCGTCGTACCCAGGAGCGCCTCGGGGGGTGTTGGAATAGAGCACTGTCGGACGTGACGCACGGTACAGGTCGGCAGCCCTGGGGCTATATAATCTTTCATGTTCCGTTCTTTCTCGGTCGGTTCGTTCTCGTAGACGTTGGTATTCGGCATCATCCATATTGGCGCTGAATGGGGCGCGTGCAACGCTTCGTGACCGGTTCAAGGAGGAAGCAGGTTGTGTGTAAAACTCATCGCTGGTCCGGTAGACAGGGCGTGATGGGCTCCCTGATCGTATGCTACTGGGAACTGGTGATTGGGGCGCATGGTTGATAACGGGGCGCTTCGAGGCTGCGTCGAGAGTGGCAGATCGGTGGCTTCTGGTGCCGTGGTCCTTCACGCTCATGCTCCGTGGGATGGGCTCCTTTCTGACGGCATAGCTACCAGAGTCGATGGGAATGGTGGTTGGACGATAGTCGGTGGTAGTAGACGAAACAGGCGATCGGAGAGGGAGTGCCTCATGGGTTGTAGGGAGAACTGGGATCTCGCCCCCGTATAGCGACTGATAGGTTCCAGCACCAGTTATGGGCATGGAGAGGCGTGCGGGATTGTACATGGGAGGGGACCGTCTCCCAACTGGGGGCGCCGCCGATGGATATCTGTATCTGCTCTGGTCGGCCATTGCGACAACCGGCGACGTTCGAGCGAGGAATGAAAGACGAGGGTTGATCAAGGATGGAATGTCGAAGATCGATCGGGTGGAAGTTGGTGTTGGAATCGCGGGGCCAGATGACTGGATAGATGACTCAAAAGGTGGGATGGAGGGCTCGGTGACAATTAAGGTATGCTGTATACTTGGAATGCCCGTATAAGACAATGAGAGTACCTAGGATGGAAAAGTACAATGTCTGAAGAAGGACGGGCGAGATACTAGCGCCAAGTAACCCAAAGTCTCTGCAAGTGGAAGCTCGTGGCGGCGTTGGTTTCGGGTGTGTGTAGTTTCCCGCGTCTTGGGCAGGTTGGACGAAGTAGGAGAGGTGAGAATTAGAGATGTTGGGTAGGAAGAAAAAACAGGTGGTGTCGTAGAGTTGGAGGTTGTAGGCAACGCTGCTGATGAGTGAGGGCAGGCGGGGCCAGAGACCCGAGGCGGGTGGATGGACGATTGCGTATGGCGGGGTGTGTGTGCAGGGGGGGTGCAGGGTGCCGAGTTGCCTGGCAGGCCACGACGTGCCAGGGTGCGCAGTTGGAGACGCCGGGGTTCAGCTAATGAGAAAGTTGGGAAGACCTCGAGGGATGTCTATGGAACTCTTGTCCACAAGACTGTTCGCCTGGGACCCGCGAGAGGATACCTTTTTGACACGATTGGGCAGATAAACGAAGAGGCTAGTGAGGTGAAGGTTGGAGCGAGCGGATATGCCCTTGGCCGAAGTTCTCGATCTATTTTGGTCTTTACCATCAGACGCGATCCGATCAGACGAAGGAAACTGTACGGTGTTTAGACGAGTCGATCAGCAAGTGCACGCAAGTCGGACACTTAACTGACCTTAATTACTCTCACCAGGACTATGAAAAGTTTCCTGAAGTCGAGTGAGCAGGTGACTAGATCTACTCTCGACCTTACCCAAAACATATAATCCATGTATGTGCCGCCGAGGTGTAATAAGTGGCGTGAACCAGATGAGTGAGATCCACGGACGGACGGAGTACACTACAGACTTTGCTGTATATATTCAGTATTACTACCAATCTGAGAGCTTTCAAGTCTCGAGACCGATGGGATGTCGGCCTGATTCGACAGTTACGAGTTGGCTACTTTACCCTCAAAAGACGCCCAACTTGTTTTCTCTTACACTACATATATCTTTTCCATTGTCTACTTTCTCCCTCGCTAAAAAGCCGATTGAATTCTGGTCATCCAGGCAACCCATGTCACTGTATTCAGGCCAACCTTGCTACACTATATGTTCCCCGTCGAGCATCCATTCCCTCACAGTTTCGGCTATTGGCAGGACCCTGGAATTCTTGTGTACCTGATGGGGCTACGGAGAGAGGGTGTGGCCTTAACAACGGCATGTCTGGTTTCAAGCTGAGAAACCGCCAGAGTTCCAATGCCAGAGTGACCTCCCCGACGACCGAACTAGTTAGTATAAACGGCCAATGTAAGACTCCTCGCCGTGATAGCTTGACCGACATTCAACTTTTGGGTTTTGGGCTTCAACACCAATGCCCTAGCGCGTAGCTGTTCCTTGGAGTTCCTGGAAATGTGGATTTTGGGTTTCAATTGGGGTGGGGATTCCCGCCGTCCCGTCTCCGGGGTGCCGGGCGCTTCAGCATCGGATGAACCTCGTGTCGTCGAGACGAGATGGCAGGTCAATCCGTTCGTCCGTCCATCATAGTGGATCTTTTGGCACCAGCTAGAGGAGTAAGCTCATGCCTCTCTATGAAGATGATACTCACATACCAGCCTGCGGTCTTTCCGGATCTTGAGAATGCTATTTAACACAATATCCGTGAAGCATCAAATTCCTTCGGATGTTGAGGTTGCGGTTGGTGGTGATAGTGATTAGTGATTGCCAGCAGCGATGTGGGCGGACCCGGACGGGCCATGGCACTAACAAGCAAGGACCCACTTTCTACAAGGTACATAATTGGTCCGGTCGTCAAGGTGAAGAAACAGGGAAAAATGACGTCCAACTCCCAACTTCCGAATCGAGCCGTCTCTTTTTTCGAAAACCACCAACTGCAGTGTCTTCTCAACCTGCTTCGTCAGCTATCTCCTTCACACTTCTGCTTGTCACACAGCACTTCGACCCGGACAAACATCAAATTTCCATTTCGCCAAGTATAACTTGGATTGGTCATTTCGAGCCCCTTCAATACCGATATGTGATGGCGCCGCACCATGATGGCTTGCTCGCCATGATGCATATCTACACTTTTCGTCCCTCCATCATCCAGGGAATTCCCTTGTGTTAACGGGTCATTTATACGTTGCCGTTTCTCGAGTTTCGGTGGGTCGCGACATCATCTCTCATCGGTTTTGGTGCACCGCATGGTACACGAGCTTCTCTTCACACAGACACCATACATAACCTCCATATGTACATCCAAAGCTCCTTTTTCGCCCCCGATCTCCCTTCCGTCACATTGAGCCTGTATGAACAACACAGCCGTCACGACCTCCTTCCTCCAACAACTTCAGTTACCCTCCCCTTCCGGGCATTCCTTGCATGCACTTGAGCAAGCGAGCAAGTTCCAAGGTACCGATCATCTCGTGACCCTCAAAACTCTCCACGACCACCTTTTTTAGTTCCTTTTCTTTTTTTTTTTTCTTTTTTCTTTCTTTTCCCTCCTATAGGGTGTATAAGCATGAGATGTACCCAGGGTAGGCCTCGATATTCCTGTTTCCCATCCGGTGCTCGCGTTGAGTGGACACTGAGGTACAGAAATGGCATCTGAGATTCAGGTTTCTCGAAGGGATGTCATGTCATTTGCGTGAGGCATTGGGCAGCCATCCATTTAAACCCAACCACGCCATGATCCCCAATAACCTTGATCTGGCCCTTGCCCGAAACCAAAGAAGGATCGATTCAAACAGCCGGCAACCGAGTCCAACGTGACATTTTCCACAAAGTATCCCGAGTGGGGTAACACATGCATCCGTTCCGACGATGTTCTGCTCTTCAGACACGCGACTTATATCGAAGCAATGTTTGAGTGGAGATGAGCTGGTTCACGGTTTGTATCGATGTTGGTTTTATTTTGGATCTTTCCCGAAGATTCACGTCCTCGTGTTGTCATCTGTTGGTGATGATTGCCTTGTTCTCAGTCATACGTGATGGCATGCCTTGGAAGTTGTTCATATGTCGACAAGGACTGAACATAAGGCTGATAAGTTGCCCATGCCGAAATACACTTACACCACGTGAGACTGAGACATGACTCGCTATCATGATCCTACACTGAAAAATTGGCGACCTACCATCTTGTACGATCCCCGAATGATGATCTGGATGTACAACGAGCGCTGTGCAACTCGGTTGTCTACAGTCATCAGACTGTATGAAGCCCTGAGTGTGTTTACGCAGGCATCGACGTACCGGGGTGTCCTAGGGAGGCAGATGCTTTCTCTACACTACAATAAGCCGGCTATTTGCAAGAAAAATTCAGTCTTGTTCTTATTAGATCCGCTCATTGACTTGACCTGACCAGGAATTGATTTTCATTTTACGAGGATGAGCAAGACACCTTCTCATCTGCCTGTGGAGACCCGCTTGGGGTGCTGAGCCTGGCAGTCGTCCAAGACTTTGAGCCTGGACTGTAATATTAGACTTTACATGAGTAGTCGTCGTTGCCTAAAGTGTGGGCTCACATACGCAGTAAACTGCTCGGAAACTTCGCACGTATCAGAGACACCGAAGTTTGTGATGGGGATGTTGATTATTTATTAAACCTCATCATTCATAAAGACTACCGGATGACACAGGCTCACTGAGATGGCCCTCCGACGCCCCTGAAGGAAGTCAAACTTTACTCTCGAAATCGGTTTTCCTTTCATTTCGGCAACCATCTGCATGGAATGTTGGAGAAGCGTTCAAGAAGAAGAAAAAGAAGGGAAAAAAAAGGGGGAAAACAGGCTCTGCATCCGCTCAGTCACCACTTAGGGCTAGAGCCCGAGCAGTTTAGGGCAAGTCGAACGAAGATTAGATTCAGATCACCGTGATTCAATCTGCAAGCAACCTGCCGTACTCTTCTCACTCTTCCGTAGACAGCTACTTGCCCAATCATCGCATCGCGATATATCAACGGCAACGTCCGTGGTTCCTTTGTCAAGATCTGCCACAGCTGATCTGAGTGAGCTGGCACCAGTGATGATGGGTAGCCTGGTAGAAATGAGGCTGACAAGAGGCACGACTGCGGCGTGGTAACGATGATCACTTTAGGATTTCGAGATAATGATAGATAGGCATTTGGTTGTGGTCGATGGAATGTGAGGAAGTAGCGAGGTTCATCGCCATATGTTTGACAAAGGCAAAATTAACCGAGAGGAAGAAAGACACGATGGAAGAAAAGTAGAAAATGAACTTAATCAAGACACTACAACCACCGTTCGAGGACACCACCTCAGTCTGGCCTAGTCCAATTCGGTCGTCCCATTTGCCGCAAGAGAAAGTAAGACAATTGGAATATGCAACGAAAAGCGAACAACCGCTCATTCGCCCCATTCACACGACGGTTAACCGTCGAAACAAGCTCCCACCATTTGTACTCTTCATCTCTGATGTACTACCTTCTTCTGTCCTCGCCGACATCTGCATATCCTTCATGGATATCTAGTGGACGTGGTATGCCTACGACATGGTATTGCGCTTCCAAATTTACTTGAAAGGTACATGAGGGCTAAATATATATATACCGAGTTGAACCCGCAAGGCTAGCTACATACCTAATTGGATTATTCACAATTTCTCTTTTAATGGCTACCACTACACCTACCATCTTGGCTAATGGAAGATTATGAATTTGGGGCTGATATAGTCCAAGCGAATACCCTGCCATGGGATTAAAGGGGGCAGGAGCGATTGAGTGGCTGCTCGGTGTTAATAAAGAGTACGGTCCTACAAACGTTAAAAAGAGCTGAGATGTAGAAACGAAACGAAATGTCAATATCACTACCTTGCTCATCTGTCCGAGTAAAACTCCCGGCTTCAAGATCCATCAGTCATGGCGTGACATTCTTCAGAATCATCAGCTCCCATAACATCACACACACATCACCAGTTAGCACCCGGCTAAACTCAAGCCAAAGACCCCATAGGATCCCACAACGGCAACACCACCGGCTCCTGCTTCAACACATCTTTCACCTCCTTGCTCAGAAAATCCACATCCACCACCGCCTGATACACAAACTCATCCATCCATCCATCACTCATCACAAACCACCCCTCCTCGCCCACCCCCGTCCCCCACGAGTTCTGCACCCGCCACCTAGCCGTCTTGTTGGTTTCCTCATCCAGGTGCACAGCCGTCAACACCATCGCATGCGTCATCAGACTCTCGCCTGTCCGCAGTCTACTCGCCTTATCAGCGCCCAACAACGACACGTTAAAGCCCAGCTCGTAATCAATCAGATCTAGATCCATCACCCCCGCTACGCGATCGCTGAACTTGCCCACGTCACTACCGAAGAAGACGGGATACCCGGCCCTGAGCATGCTCACGCACGCGGACTTGAGCGTGGCCATGTCCACGTTGATGTACGTGATGTTGCGCCCGCCGACGACGTTACCGAGGCGGTCGACTGTCATGAGAGTAAGAGGTGGGTGGCGCGGGTCGTGCACGAGGGAGACCATGCGGCTGATGGTCGACGAGGTAAGACGAAACTTGGGCGAGTAGATGTCCTGAGCAAAGGCTTTGGGTGTGGAGCGGACAGTGCGCGCCTTGCCGGAGCGGTCGACAAAGGACCAGGTGAACTCGCCGGTGGCCGAGGGAGGGGGGCCAAGGGTGAGGGTGAGGATGGCGTGGATTTCTTTCATCATTTTGGCCTTTGTGTTGCTGAGGGTTTGTTGGGTTGCCGTGCCGGGGTTGGTGGAGGAGGAGGAGGAGGAGGAGAGGAGCTTGCGCAGGACAAGGGCGTATTCGCGCAGCTTGGTGAAGATGATGCTGTTGATGACGCTGCTAGAGCTGGCGTTGAAGGAGTCCGGGTACAGCGTCTGCGGGACGAGGCCGTATTTGTCAACGAGATTGTAGACCATGTCCCACTGGCCGCCGTCGCTGAGGGGCTCGTGAAGTAAGCGCTGCACGAGACGTGAGTCGAGGTCTTGGTCGGCCGTGGAGATAATCTGCTCCAGGAACCAGTTGCTCTTCTCAAGCTTGTCCCAGAAGAAAAGGTAGGCTTGCGAGAGCTCGAACTGGTCGAGGTTGTACTTTTGCATCAGGGCAACGCGGAAGACGTTGGTGCTCGCGAAGAGCCAGCAGCGCCCGCTTTGCCGCTGGTTGGTGATGGGACCCCCTTCGAACGGGATCTTGATGTTGAATACCTGCTGCTCCGCGATCTTGACTGCGCGTGAAAGGAGGACATCACGGGGGTTGGCGGCGCTCAGGGCGGACAGGGCCAATCTAGCGAGCGCAAGGTATCAGTAGGTAAGCTTGATCTTACTTAGTTAATGACGTCTGGAAGTACTATCCTACCTGTTCTTGGGGTCTTCCAGAAGTGTACCCTCCCATTTTGAGACTGTTGAGAAGGAGAGACCTTCTGGCGTACGGTTTTTGGTAATGCCTGTGATCGTTCCCTTCTCACCTATGAGCCCATTCTCAACATGGACGTATTCATCGTCCGTGGTGTTAACGGCTTTCTCTTCAAAGGGCATCTTGGACTGCGAGGCACCCATGATGTCTGTGGCTGATGAGCTCTAGTAATACTGTTTATTTTGGTGTGTTGATCGAGTTCAAACTCCAAATTGTCACCCTTGGAAATACGGGAGCAGGAAAGGGAGCTGGAAAGTCATGCAAAAGATACGGGATCCGATTTGTATGACAGTCATCCGGTGTTTGGCACGGACTGAGTCCCTTGATAGCCCGAGGCCCGTACCACTTCTGCCACTCTCACCCTTTCAAACGCGGGGGTATTTGGAGAAAGAGGTCAAGGCTTCTCCTCATTGAGAAGGTGGTTCGAACCAACTCGTAGTGTCGCATGCCGTGAGGGGCTGCTTATCAATGACCCGCGTTCAGCTTGCAGTCGTGCGGCACAGCAATCTTTCTCCCACTATCCAAAGGAGCGAATCATTTTCTTTCCTGGTGGTTGCTTCGATATGTCTGTCTTGTCCTTCAAGACGGTTCAGGATGAGATGACCGGAGACACGGGCTGACCGGACACAACTCAGCTTCATCCCCGGCTACCACTCACCATCAAGACTTTTGGCTCTCTTATTCGTTGACGTGGATTGGCTCTCTCATTGGTTGGCACGTATTGACTCTTGTTGACTAGTACATCGACAAGTTCGACTTATAAAAAGGAGACAAGACACGATTGGTTAGGACGATGATCTTCGAATTCTACCAATCAGAAGTCGAGGACGTCGCTAGTCTGATGCACCATGTTTGTTCGACACCTCAAGCGAGATCAAGCTGTAAACAAGATGTGAACTGACCTTTGGCACCAGAACAATGCAGTCACTTTCATTCAATTGCTGTTCACACACAATCAATTGGAACAAGACGAAGCGGGTTTTTTTAAGGTTGTATTACTGACGACTCCTTCCATTACAATTTTCATATACATGGATGGGGAGGGAGCATACTACCAGTACAAATTATCCAACCCATCTTCTAGACGCGCGCAAAAAATCAGACCCAGCATCAGAGAGACCATATCATAACATCCAAGCAGCCCTTATTAACCCAACCGTGTGTCGTGTGTTCGATTCCAGGAAGGGCGAAAGTCATATTATTGAACGGATGACGGAACCCCCGATTTAGAGGCGGGAACCGTGGACGACCTTCATGTCGACGGCCATCTCGCGACCGTGGTCGGAGACGACGAGGACACGGACGGAGCCGCGGCCAGACTCGAAAGCCTTCTGGAGACGGTTCCAGAGAGAGCTCTGGTCAATGACGGGGAGGTTCTGCTTGACATCGCCAGTCTCGGTCATGGCGACGATGGAGCCGTCCTGCATGTCGAGAACACGGTACTGCTTGAAGACGGGGCCGAGCATGGTCTGGACGACGACGCTGGGGGCAGGGTTGGAGACGAAGCTGGACTCCTCATGGAGCTGCTTGGTGAAGAGGTCGACACCGAGGTAACGGTGCTGGCCAGTGGCGGCGGAGGTGGAGATGCGGATGACCTGGCAAGGGCGGCCCTGGAGGATGAGGATATCGCCGAGGCGGATGTGGTGGCAGGGGATGGTGACAGTCTGGGAAGCAGAGCCGGTGCCAGTGCCGGTGGTGGCACGGGGCGCGGCATCAGCCTCAACGTGGCCGTGAGCTGTGTTGGGGGAAGACATGGTCAGCTTATTGTTTTCAGAAGACAGACAGACAGTCGAGTCAAAGTGTCTGAAGGAAGGATGAAGAATGGGGATGGATAATGGATGATGGGTGCTTACCGTCGTCGTCGTAGTAGCCCATTTTGGAAGATGTGTTGTTGTTGTTGGAAACTTTGACTAGAGAAAGTTCGTTTTCTTGGATGTCGACAGTGGACTCGCTGTAGAGGCTGGGTGCCTTCTTATGAGCCGGACGGTAGGTGGGGAAGTCGACGGTAGTCTCGTCGACAACGATCTTCTCCTTGTAAGAAGTGGATCTAGGGGGTGCAGGGAGTGCAGGGAAGTCGACAGTAGTGTCGTCGACGTGGGTGGACTCCTTGTGGCTGGGACGGTAGCTAGCGACGTCGACGGTGGAACCGACTACGTGACCTTCGTTGTGGTAGGCGGGCTGGAACTTGGACCGGTATTGATGCTCAGCAATGTCGATAGCGCTGGCGCTGTCGGAGGATTGTTGATGATGAGAAGAGGAGTGGTGATGATGAGGCTTTTCGAAGGATGGTTCAGAAAAGTTGTGACCACTGGAGGGATTTGCTGGTTAGATATAGGCGTAGAGAACAGTAGAGACGAGCAGATATGAGAGGGCTTTGAGAGGGCTGGGACCCGAAAAGGGGACTTGGTACAGTAATTTTCCCGCTCCGTCCCTTGATCGTAAGTGGACCATGGAGCTAATACAAAAAGGGGAATGTTTAAGAGGCCAGGGGGGTCTGCCGCGCCTAACCATGAGCGGTGAAGCAAAAAAGCAAGCTCAGCAGCTGGTTTACGAGCTCGCCAGCCCCTAGACCGCTCCAGCTAGCCATTTTGCAACGCATTCGCGCGAGACCCAGCCGCTTATACCAGGGGTCTACCAGCTGGACTGGTTTGCAGCTCAATGTTACCACCGCGGAAGCAGACACACGCCAGCAATCCCACCTGGGGCCTGCCTGAAAAAAGCGAGTCCGGTTTCAAAACGGAGGCTGGAAGGAAAGGACGGAACGGTAACGGGATGTGGAACGCAAAAACGGATCTTGCACTAGGATAAAAAAAAAAAATAAAGAACGCAAGAAAAAAAAAACAATCAACTCACCTGGTGTGCGAGTGCACATGAGTGTGCGAATGGTGCTCCTGAGGCTCCAGAGGATAGTGCGGCGCGTGGTGGTGGTCGTTGTGCTTGGGCTCGGGAACGATCACCGGACCAACGTGGGAGCCATGGGAGCCGTGGGAGTTGTGACCATGGTTGTGGGTATGGATATGCTCCGTCTTGTGCACCTCGACGATATCATGGTGGGAAGAGTGGTGGGAGTGAGGACGGTGAACCTTGTCAATGAGGTGGTGCTTGTGGTCCTTGTGGTGGTGTTCCTCGTCCCTGGCCGAGTGAGCGCGGTGGATGTGGGGGAGCTTGTCAGTGAGGTGGTCAATGAGGTGGTGCTTGTGCTCCTTGTGGTCCTCCTCCTCGTCGTGGTGGTGGTGGTGGTGATGGTGGTGGTGGCCCTCGTTCTTGTGAAGATGAAGGTGAGGGATATGAGGTGAGTGAGGCTTGTGAGAGTGATGCGAATGGTGAGAGCGGTGCGAGTGGGCGCTGGCAGGGCGATGGTGGTGGTGATGCTCCTTGTGGTGATCTTCCTTGTGAACCTCCTCCTCACGGGTGATGTGGATCTCCTCCTCGACAATGCGCTGCTCTACACGGGGAGGCTGAAGCTCATGGACAGCCGGAGGGACGGGAGCATGATGGTGGTCCTCATGGCCGTGGTCATGGTGAGCACCATGAGCCGGCTTGGTGACCTTGACCTCAACCTTCTCGTGAACGTGCGTATGAGTCTGAATGCCCTTTTCAGGTTCCCGGTACGTAGCCGGGAAGATGCTGAAAGGGACGGGGACACGGGCCTCAAAATCCAGTTTGGCGGTTTTCTACGGCGCAAGAGGCAGTCTTTCCTATCAACCTTTCGATATACGAAAGATTGATGAAAAGAATGACTCTGGCTTCTCTATGAAAAGAAGTCGATTGACGTAGGTGAAGAAGGCGGTCACTGTGCGACCCGTCTTCTTGGACTCGGATTCAGTCGATTCCTCTGCGAAGAGGGTATAGAAAAGGATGGGGATTCCGAAGTTGTTGTGGTTGATTGTGAGTGGCCGGATGCTGACTGGGGAAGATGGTAAGGAGAAGATCAAGACTGCCAAAGCTACCACGAGCAAGGCCGGTTCAAATAATGAGCGGAGTGTGCGTCTGGGGGAATTACGGGACCACCGTTACCGATTGTGGGAGGTGGTTGGCCCGGCCTTGTAGGGAGAATCACAAGCAAAACAGGGCGATACGGAGGGAGACGGAGGCTCGCTGAGCCCCGCGTGGGCGTCGACGACGGCGATGTGCATCTGAAGTGCGGGAGAGTTTCTTGGGGAAATGGAGATGGGGGGTCTAACACTCCAGAGGGGGGGGTCCTCCAATGGGATCGCTGGCGAGCGGTGTGTGACAAGACAGATTCGCTGGCGAGAGAGCTTCATTTTCTGCCAAAGCTAGGTAGAACTGCCCCTGGGGGATAAACCTCACTCAACCCCAGGCCTCAGCTACGCGGATCGCGTGGATCTCATAGCAGCGGGAGCCTCTGAAAGGAACCATAACCATTCCACAGCACCCACTGATCCAGTATCAAGCCAGTGTAGGCTGCCGAAACAAATGCCCAGCGGCCAGAAGAGTGGACGGTCAAATGGTGATGTCCGGGCAGTGGTAGGTACTGACGGGTTGATAAAAGGTTTGGAGATGGGATGAACAGGAGGAATTGTGGGATTTCCAGGTCCCGGCTGTGCGAATAACCACCATTTTTCCTATCCTTTTTTGCCCGTTCTGACGGGTTTGCGGCGCCGCGGCGGTTCTGCTGTTCATCTGTTTACGCACATATGGTGTGGGGAACAGCTTGTTTATCGAAAGCAAAAGGGGCTTAGTGCGTGGCCAAGGGTCCGTATTGATCCCCACGCCATCGGCCATGATTGCCCCCTGATTCGTCTCTGTTTGCTCGGCCGCCCGGTACCCGTTCCCCAGCGAGTCCCCAGCAAGTCCCCAACCCCCTCGCCAATCTCGTTCTGGGATCAGCCAGCTACGGCCAGCGAGGCCCGAGACCCAATCGAGCTTAGGTTCAAGCTCCCCGGAGACCACGATGGGAGCTCGAGATGAGCTGAACCTGAGCGGAGCAGGCAAGCATCACATCGCCTTCGATTCGATCAAACGTCGCGGCCGACCCATTCGATCGGCGAGCATGACTTGTTACCTCTCGCCAAGTGCCAACCACTCGCAATCTACACTAAATAACGACGGATCCGTGCTCGTACCCAGTTCTCGCAGTCATATACCGCCAGTTTTCCCGAGGTTGTCGCTTGCTTTTTCAGCAGCTCCGCTGAAGCTGTCATCAGGTTCTGGCAGTCAGCTAGGCAGACAGGGCAGAGCTCGACTGCTGAGACCAGCTAGATGAAACGCCAGGACAGGACCTGTTCCAGAAATTGTGCGACGGCTGTGTAAAGCCTGTAGTGTACATAGACAGGTCCAGCCTTCAATAGTCGCCCAGAGGCTGTCATGGGTAGGCAGATTGGATGCCAATGGTGCTCTCATTCCTTTCCAATCGTGACAGGCAACGGACCATAACAGTGGCTCGGCTGGTCCACTACTCAGCGCTGCATCTGCACGCCACTCATGTCGGTTGGGAAGCCCCCCAGGTCAAGGAGGGGAGCGAGGGGAAGAGATGGAGAGTGAAGACATGGGGAAGGGCATGGCTGGCGTCACGACTCGGACCAGCCATTCATTCCATCATCATCATCATCATCATCACCACCATCATAACTAACACCATCGCCACCAAACAAACAGAGAGACAGAGAAGCCAGTCGGGGACCACAGAAAGACCTCGGGTTTGCTGCAACACGAGGCGTGGTTCAGCTCCATAATCGGTGGCTGGGAAATGATGAGCAGCGATTTCGATCCCTTCAGCGATACCCTAGCAGCGACCTGCAGTAGAGCTGCAGGCTAGAAGCCGAAAGACCTGAGTGGTGGATCAATGGAAGCTGTGGGTATCAGTTGGCGTTTCCGACGAAAGTCTCGACCCCTTTCCCAGCCTCTCTTTCATTCAAGTTTCCAGTGTTGCCCTCTGCGGTTATTGTTGCGAAGGGAAAAGTGTAGCAAGCGCATGAGGTAACCATGGGACATTTCCATTGGGCTGTTTAAGAGATTCAGCCCTCCATGAAGCGCTTGGTATCTCATGTGGATAACCGCCTACCCAAGCACTCAAGCCAGTGGCAGGCCGATGAATAACGGGAAACGGCCTCGCCGCGTGTTGTCGGTCTCGTCGCGGCTTTACCTAGTCGCGGAGGAGTCTGTTCCACCAGCCAACGTGTTTACTGTCTGACAAATGGCGCCGTGAACGTGGGATGTTGGCAACATCAGGCAACCCATTTTACATACGGGCTTTTGTTAAAATGAAACCGGTCGATCGATGTGTGTGTGGGATTGGGCGGCAGATCTGATTGGACCCGGCGGCCACGGTGTTCATAGCGTAGCAACGGCAGCGTTCTCCTTTCTGCCGTCTGACGCCTCGGTTTTGCGTCGGTTTTGTGGTTCTGGATCAGCACGTTGTAACGCGTTCCTGACGCTAGCTCAGATTGGGGATAACACGCCAGTCCCCTCCTCTTCCATTCCCTTCCCTTCCCTTTCCTAGTGATGGTTGGTGGCACATGTCCACAGAGCCTTACCGGCGGGATGGAGGAGAGCGGTTCCGTTCCGATCTACACGTGTCGAAGCCTTTGACGGAGTGGAAGTTCGGCAGAAGCAACTGTTCTTGGACGTCTGCCGCTGGGTACGATGTTCGCAATACGGCCTCGGAGGACCGGATCTCGGGATACGCAATGTGCGGTGGAGGAAGATGGCAAAGGGGAAATGACAGGAGGACGACCGGTGCCGCGCCACTTTTTCCCACCCAGACGGCGCACATCCGGCGAGTTTTCTTGGTTCGGAGGCTCTATGCGATACGCCCGTGTAGTGTACGCTGTCGTATGTAGTAGTAGCTGCGGGCCTTGCGCACGTCACGTTCACGGCACTGATTTTCCTTTGCCCCTTGCAGTCCCCGTCCCGTGCCGCTTGTCCCCTACCTTACATTTGCCCTGCTGCTGCGTGTCGCTGCCAGGAACAAGTGAACAGCTGGCGATGCTGCTGGCTAGCGCATGCACAGCCTGGGACCACATCGGCGGTGGTCGAGTGGGTAAAGTGTTCGTGGACGTCCCACCTGCTAACACACTACAGAGCACCGACAACACCAACGCATTGTGATCGCAACGACGAGACAACTTTCGGTGTATCTATCCACAGGAGCCACAGATCAGCAGCATGCTGGCCAGATGGCACTCTGCAGTGTAGTGTAGGAACAATCCGTCCTCTCTAGCCAAGCAAGCCAGCCGCTGATGTTCATGAAACTAGGGCAGCGGTTCCGGCGGCTGGCGATCTTCACGATGGGCTCGCCTCTCTCCCCTTCCAAGCCACGTCTCTGTGTGTCTTCATTCTGTGGGCAGGCAGTAAACAGCCTAGAATACCTAAGTCATGTGTCGAGTCGACTTGACCCGGATCTCAGACGGGCCGTCCAGGGCTGTTCGACAGCGTTTCGCCCTGTGTCCCCGGGTAGTCCCGTCCGGGCCAGACAATGCTTGTTTGTTGTGTTGGACCGAGTGTGTCCCACTGTGACAGTGAGTGAGCCCGTGTAGGAAACGATTGAACCAACAGACACTTGCGACTTGGTAGATGAGATGAACGTTTGATGGAATCGAGTCTTGAGGCTGGACTTTCAGCCAAACCGACCAACGAGCAAAGTACTCCCGAGTTGATCGTCTAACCATCGATGGCTATCTCGGTGTACCGGACTCGTGGAGATATTGAAGAATTCCTCACCTATGTACAAGCTGTGATGCGCAACGCCGCGATTTGGAATGGCAACATCGTAGTTGGCGACATCGTAGTTTCAGATGAAATGAAGTGAGAGCGCCCACAGCTTCTCTTGCTCTGCCTTCACACCACTATTTACCCACCCAGTCCAGAACGAACATCGTATCCATGAAGCACGACTGCTCTGAAGAGGAAAACCTCAGGATGCATTGGCAAAACCGCATTGCCTTCTCCATCATCGTAGGCATGGTGGCCGGTGCCTTTGCCTTTGCGCTCACATATCAATGCTTTCGTGACTACCAACGTCGCCGTACCCTGCCGAGAGGGGCAGACGAGTCTCCTCCGGCTGAGGTCTGACTTTGCTCCTCCGTCTCCGTGTTTTGTATTTCCTTGAGGGCAGGATCATGATGGTGCCGGCTTGAACCCAACACCAACCACCTTCCCACAGAACAACGAGCAGCGGTCACTATGATTGGCCACCATATTCGTGGCTACCTCCCACCTCGATGAAAGTGGAAGGGCTTGGACGGACTGGTCGTGCTGACGTAAGGCGCTCGGCAAGTGACTGTTTGCCCAGCAAAAGTAGTGTACCCAGATACCCCACCACCCCGCCATGACATCTTGATGCATTGTTTTGGACGGCCGAAGCGATTCAGAGAAAACCCGACCTTACCATCACCCCGTTATTGATATCGTTACGGCCCGAATTGAGCTCAACGTCGGTGATCACAAAGTCCATAAGCCTCCATGAAGCAGCGATTCTCCTCTCTCGACGTCAGGGTGGTGGCCCACGAGCTCTCGGAAGCTCTGGTGTCGCTACGCCTGGCCAACATCTACGACCTCAACTCCAAGATCCTCCTCCTCAAGTTCGCCAAACCCGACAACAGGCAGCAGCTCCTGATCGAATCCGGTTTCCGCTGCCATTTGACTGACTTCGTGCGCACCGCTTCGCCGGCACCCAGCCAATTCGTCGCCAGGCTTCGCAAATACCTCAAGACCCGGCGTTGTACCTCTGTCTCGCAAATTGGTACCGATCGCATCATCGAGTTCCAGTTCAGCGATGGTGCCTTTCGACTTTACCTCGAATTCTTTGCTAGCGGCAACATTATCCTTACCGATTCCGACCTCAAGATCTTGGCTCTGCTCCGAAATGTTCCCGAGGGCGAAGGCCAGGAACCCCAGCGCATTGGTCTGACCTACACGCTCGAAAACAGACAGAACTTTGGAGGTGTTCCTGCCCTGACCAAGGAGCGTCTGAGGGATGCGCTGCAGAGCACAGTCCAAAAGGCAGCCGCTGATCAGGCTGCCGGTAAGAAGATCAAGAAAAAGGGCGCCGACGAGCTACGAAGGGGCCTTGCGACCACCATCACAGAGCTACCGCCCATTCTCGTCGAGCATGTCTTCCGCCTCACCAGCTTCGACCCAGCCACCAAGCCTGCCGAAATCCTGGATGATGATTCCCTCCTAGACAAGCTATTCGACACCCTCCAGCAAGCACGAGAAATCCTTGACGAGGTCACCGATTCCTCCGTTTCCAACGGTTACATCATCGCCAAGCCTAGGTCTGGGTTTGAAGATACAGAGTTGGACGTCGATGCGCCACCAGCCGAAAAAGCAAAGACCCTCCTCTACGAGGATTTCCAACCGTTCTTGCCCAAGCAGTTCGAGGATGACAAGGCATATCGTATCTTGCCGTTCGTCGGCTACAACAAAACAGTCGATGAATTCTTCTCATCCCTCGAGGGACAAAGGCTAAAGTCCAAGCTCAGCGAGCGTGAAGCAGCTGCTAAGAGGAAGCTCGAAGCCGCCCGTATGGACCAAGCTAAGCGAATAGAAGGGCTGCAAGAGATGGAGATGCTAAACTATCGCAAGGCGGCGACCATTCAAGCCAATATCGAACGTGTCCAGGAAGCCATGGATGCCGTGAACGGCCTGCTACAGGAAGGCATGGATTGGGTCGACATCACGAAACTGATTGAAAAGGAGCAGAAGCAGGGTAACCCCGTCGCGGAAATTATCAAGTTGCCAATGAAGCTGAAGGAGAACACCATCACATTACTGCTAGGAGAAGGCGTGGAAGAAGAGGAAGAGGGCGACCAAGACAAAGAGGATGATGAGTTCGATTACAGCGATTCTGAAGACGATGCCGACGGGGCAGAAACCACCAAGGACAAGGCGCCAGTCAAACGCCTTGAGGTCGATATCAACCTGACACTGAGCGTTTGGAACAACGCCAGAGAATATTACGACCAGAAGCGAACAGCTGCTGACAAGGCGCAAAAGACGGTCCAGCAGTCGGTTATCGCCTTGAAAAATGCCGAGCAGAAGATCGCCGAAGATCTCAGAAAGGGTCTCAAGCAAGAAAAACCAGTCCTCCAACCCATCAGGAAGCAAATGTGGTTCGAGAAATTCACCTGGTTTATTTCCTCAGACGGTTATCTCGTTCTCGGAGGCCGTGATGCTCAACAGAACGAGATGCTGTACAAGCGGTATCTGAGGAAGGGTGACGTTTACGTCCACGCCGATGTTCACGGAGCTGCAAGCGTGATCATCAAGAACAACCCAAAGACACCTGATGCACCAATTCCGCCGTCGACGCTTGCTCAGGCTGGCAATTTGTCGGTATGCTGCTCTAGTGCTTGGGACTCGAAGGCTGGCATGGGGGCCTGGTGGGTCAATGCCGACCAGGTCTCGAAAAGCGCACCCGCTGGTGAATACCTCCCGGTAGGATCGTTCATGGTCAGAGGGAAGCGCAACCTCCTGCCTCCGGCGCTATTGACGCTTGGTTTCGGTCTACTGTTCAGGGTATCCGACGACAGCAAGTCCAAGCATACTCGCCATAGGGTCTATGATTTTGTAGAACGCAAGACAAAAGGTCGCGCTGACTCTCTGAATGCCCTGTCAGAACGTGCAGAGAGCCCGCACGAGCAGAAGCCAGTGGCCGGTGAAGAGTCTGAGAGTGATGACGATGACGAGGACGCCGCAGACCAGAAGGAAAGAGCTAATCCCCTGCACTCGCAGCGACCTGGACAAGTCGGTTCTGTGGAAAGCGATGCTGCCCAAGGCACAGAACCTCCGACGGAGGAGCTTGCAGACCTTGAAATCAACAAGGAGGAGTCCGTGAGCAGCCCCGATGAGAGCATCAAGTCGCCGGCGGAACTGGAACCTGCTGCAACGCAAAATGAAGAGGAGGAGGACGACGACGGTGAGGAGGAAGAGTCAAACCAGCCATCACCTGCAGCAAAGACCGGCACTCCCTCGTCATCAACCGCCCCTCAAAAGCAACAGTCTGCGAAGAAGGCACCCGCCAAGCGTGGCCAGCGCGGCAAGCAAAAGAAGATTGCGGCCAAGTACAAGGACCAAGACGAGGAGGACCGCGCCCTTATGGAAGAGCTGATGGGTGTCAAGGCTGCCCGTCAGAAGGCCGAAGCCGAAGCCGCGGCTAAAGCCAAGGCAGAAGCCGAGGCTGCTGCCGCTCGCGAGCGTCGCCGTCAACAACAGGAGCGTGTCAAGAAAGAGATCCGCGAGCACGAAGAGGTCCGCCGTCTCATGATGGAGGAAGGCGAGGACATGCCTCTGGACGAGTCCGAGATGGCGATGGAGATGGCGCCACTCGAGACGCTTGTGGGCAACCCGCTTGCGGGCGATGAGATCCTGGAGGTGGTTCCGATCTGTGCGCCGTGGAGTGCTCTGAACAAGTTCAAGTACAAGACGAAGCTACAGCCCGGAAATACGAAAAAGGGCAAGGCAGTCAAAGAGATCGTTGAGCGGTGGAGGTTGGCGAGCGGCAAGAAGGGCTGGATCGATGAGTCGTCGTCGGATCCGGAGAAGATTTGGCCGAGAGAGATGGAGCTTATCAAGGGACTCAAGGTTGAAGAGGCTTTTAACTGTGTGCCCGTCGGAAAGGTCACTGTGATGCAGTCTGGTGGCCTTGCTGGCAGTTCGAGTGGAGGAGGGTCTGGGAAGGGTGGTGGTAAGGGCGGAGGTAGTGGAAAAGGCGGAAGTGGTAAGGGAGGGAAAGGCAAGAAGAAATAGTCTTGAAGCTCGTTGGAGAAGCGAAAGGCATATTTTCTATAACAGACATTAGAGTCCAGCGAAGCTATCAAAGCAGAAGCATGGTAAACGGTCTCGGAGCTCATCATCAAGTGTTCCACGCAAGGGATTGACAATGGAGACGGCAATGTATGCATGAGCTAGTTCAGCGTAAGCTTTGATAACAGAATAATGTTTGACATTACGAATCTCGGCCGAGGTCAGCGCCGTGGTGACGGGAATAGCCTCATCACAGCCCGGTTGTGACAGCAGATCAGGAAGACTGCAGAATCTCAAGGGTACCAAGGTAGATAACTAAAGAAGAACACGAACGCCTCTTGCCAAGCAAACGCAATGCAGGCCCCAACCGCTACGTGTGCGAGCACAGACCACTGCACTGACGTCTTAGCTGAGGGCAGATTTTCGGCGCCGTGACCGAGCAAAACAGCGGGCAGAAGCGGCAAGGCAAGTAGTAGGATGGGCGCCGTGCCGACGGCGGTTCCGGAGGGTAATCAAAAGCCCGAGGGCTCCAGTCGGCCGCTCCAGTCCGCTCCAGCAGCCTCATCCAGGGGCACCTATCGATCCATCCATCATCATCATCATCATCCACCGACCCCAGCCAGCCCGCTTCCAGAATCCAGAATTTCGGCCTGCACCGCACCGCAACTGGAACCCGAACCCGACTCTTTTCCTGACCACGCTGTTCACTGCCTCACCTCAGCTTACGATAGTTTTATTCTTGTGAATACCAGCAGCTGCCTCACTTTACACAAGGAAGAACTTTACCTTTTCCCCCTATCTTCCCTCCTTTCTCTAGTCGCTTCATCTCGTCCACACAACAACCTACCCCCTGTTCGCCGATTTTCCGCACCAAGCATATGCAAGCTACTGCCAACTTGAACAACTGGCCCCCGATAACTCTTTAATTCACCGAATTCCCGATTTTCGACCTCTTCGTTTCTCTACTTGACACTTGCAAGAAGCGGAACCTTCGGACACCCGTTTAATTGATTGCGCCGAGCTCGATAAACCAACCGGCCAAGCAAGCTGCAGCTCTACAGTAGCCTTGCTACAACTTCAAATCATTGCGCAGTGTGTTTCCTGGTGTTCAGCCCAGGAACCCATACAACGAAAACCATGCCGGCCACCGAGAAGGTCAGCCGTGGAAAGGATGCTGAGCCACGGGAGAACGTCTACCTATTTGTACCAAACTTGATCGGTACGATTTTGCGAATCCATGCTTCCACCGCACCGCTTCTACTTCCTACGCGGCCGCAAGCCTTTTCTTTCTCTCGAGCTCCCATGCGCCTTGCGCTTGTGTAAATCCCAGACATAATTAGATCGTGAATGGCTTGCTAACAGGGTCTGGCCCACCACTTACAGGTTACTCCCGTATCATCCTTGCTGTAGCCTCACTCTACTACATGCCCCTCCACCCCCGAACATGCTCGCTACTCTACAGCATCTCGTGTCTTCTCGACGCCCTCGACGGCTATGCCGCTCGCTACCTTGACCAGTCCACCCGCTTCGGCGCTGTGCTCGACATGGTCACGGACCGCTGCACGACGGCCTGCCTGCTCGTCTTCCTCGCCTCCGCCTTCCCCCGGTGGTCCATCGTCTTCCAGGGCCTGATCGCCCTCGACATGGCCAGCCACTACATGCATATGTACGCGACTCTGGCCATGGGCGGTTCGGATGAGAGTCACAAGAACGTCGACAAGTCGAGGAGCTTCATTCTCAATCTCTACTATACCAACAGGGTGCGTCATTGTCCATATCCTCTCGAAGCTCTTTTTTGGTTAAGGAGAAGAAGATGGAAGTGGTAGCTGACATCAGGTGACCTCATATCACAGACGGTTCTTTTCCTGTGTTGCGCCCTCAACGAGGTCTTCTTTATTGCCCTCTACCTGCTCTCCTTCTCGAGCCCGCTCCTCTCTCCCGGCCTCTTGGAACAGGTTCCCCAGATCAAGCAGGCCAACCCCTACAGCGCCGCTGCTCTCGAGCTGGCGCGTGCCAACAAAATGGTAAGCCACCACTCTCCACTTCAACGTAAGAAATCCAGGTAGCTTGATAGATGACTAATCTTCCAACCTCCCCCGTTTCAGGACTCCACCGTCCCTTGGATCATCGCAATTGTCTCTTTCCCCGTCATGATGCTCAAGCAAATCATCAACGTCGTCCAGCTTGTCAAGGCCAGCAGGTGGCTAGCGGAGGGTGACCTGGAGGCCAGAAGGGAGCGCAAGAAGACCCGTTAAAATGTCGTTTTCTCTCTCTCTCTCTCTCTGTGACTACTTCGGGTAGCTCTTTCGTGGTACCTCTTCCTCTTTGCCCGAATCCGAATTTCTTCCGGCTTGTATGGTTCTCGCGCGCGCGGGGGGGAAACAGAGATGAGAGGCGGTTAGAGAAAAGTCAATTTCGACTTTTCTTACTCAACTTTCTTCTTCCTAACCCTAGCCCACATCTATGTCGAACTTCTTGTCGGCCGGATCCTAAAAGGATAAGAGACAAAATACTGAAACTTTTGGCAGTTCGGTCTTCTCATGGGTGGGGCAAAAGGGGCCTTATACATTTGTTGTAATTGGAACAAGGAAAAGGGTTATTATCAGGCGGTGTTTGATTGGTTGGTATGGTACGGAAGTGTTGCTGTTCGTGTTGACAGTGGGATTCAGTTGGCTAATCGACGCAACGGAATCGGTCAGTCAAGTTAGTTGCATGATAGGTATGTATGGATGGATGGATGGATGGATGAGCTGTATCCGAGGGCAGGGAAAGAGTTGTTGAAGACACACACGAACATATTTTAGCTGTCTTTTTAGCTTGTCTATCTGTTTGCATGGGCTAGTCTGGTTTGGTATGATCTGAGGTGTGATATGGATGGATGGATGTCATGGTTCGGCTTAGTTGGGTGGGTGGCATAGGATAGATGGTTGGCTGGTTGGAGGTTATTTACGTAATGGAGTTTTTTTTTTTTTTTTTTTTTCTGTTCAAAAAGATTTTGATCAATTGTTTCCATGTTTTCAATTACCTCCACTCATCTAGTTCTCCCCTTCTCGTAACGAGTGTTTTACATATGGTCGTTTTGTTGTTGGATGGGAACGTGAGAGTTTTGAGGCGAAGTGGTCTTACCTACTTAGGTACTGTATTCAACCAATGCCCCGTTTTTTGGCCTGTAGGAACCGAAGTTATCCCGGAAAAAATCATTTATAGCTACGTAGAGGAAGATGTAATCGAAGCCACCAGTATTATCGTGTGAACAGATTGAGCAAGGTATAGGTATGACCTCATCAGATCCGTCACTACAAGGGAACACCTCGCTACGAGGTGCATATAAATGCTTCATTCTCAGTTGCTTGTCACAAAGCACAAGACGGGACTGCCCAGGAACCGAAACCATACCAGACGTAACCTTGTAGAACAAAAAAAACCTACTTCTACCAGCCGGCTATGCCATCTGGTTTCCTCTTGTTCTTGCAGTGAGGAGCATCATCTTCGAGGGAACCCCCAACCGAAGAGGCCCTTGCGCGCATTCAGGGGCTTCCCGTCCCCCTTTCCGCTCCTTCCCGTCTACAGAGGTCTCCAAAAGTCGTAACCGCACCTTCCATTCAAGATGCCCTGCCACTGATGACTCCCAGGTGGTTCCTAGCAGAGAGACGACTGGAAGAAGTTCAAAGGCCGATCGATCACTGGTGCCTTCCACTTTCAACCAACGGACCGATTTCAGTGCGTGCCTACCATTGGGCGTATTGCATCATGAGGAGGGGTCGGGTGCCGTGGTTCGAAAGCACAGGCACAGGCACAGGGGTTCAAAGAACATGAGACGATAGGTGTAACAGTTCCCCGTGGATATGGAGGCGGAAGAGGCTAGATCCGAACCCGAATCTGAGATGCCAGTTTGGTTCAGATCTTTGTTATGTGACCTACGTGTGCGACCTTTGCTTATCGAACGGGGAGGGAGTGTGTAGGGTTGGGTAAGAGGAAGGTGCTGCCGATATTTACGAAGAATGTCGCTTTTTGTGTGACTCTTTTGGTAGTTTTCTTCACTGATGGGGAGAGATATACGAGTCCACAAACAGTAGACATAGAAAATGATTATGATGCATCCGTCTCTTACCCTCAGATGCGCCTGCAAAAAAAAAGGTTATGTGAAAGTAGTATCCATCGTTTATATATCATACACGAAACTTGAACTCCCGATCCCCCTCCCCCCTCTCAAAAACCCTCAACAACACGGTGGTGTTTAAGAGCAACCAACGGACCCTTGCCACGATAGTAATACCCACAAAGCCGAGCTTCAACTTTGCTTCGCTTCGGTGATGTAGCTTGGCCCGTAGGTCACCTTGCTTGAAAAGCAATTAAGCACCACCAGCAGCCCTGCAAGCAGTTTCTTGAGCGTTACACTGCTGAAGCGTGACACCGGACGCCTTGCCGCTATTGACGGCATTCGCGCAAGCGTTGTTCTGGATCGCGCAGGCGCGCTGGACGGCGGCGGCCTTGTTGACAAAGGTCGCTCCGTTGACGGCGAAGGGACGCTGAGAGTTGCCCGAGTTGGTGACGGCGGGGGCAGAGATGCCGGCGATGGCTTGGCTGGTGGCGACGTTTTTGCCTGAGTTCCTGTTCCGGCCGCCAGTATTGTTGTTACCCGTGTTCTTGTTGTTGTTGTTGTTGTTGTTGTTGTTATTGTTCTTATTGGCGTTGTTGCCACCGTTGTTGTTGTTGTTGCCGCCGCCGCCGCCGCCGCCGTTGTTGGAAACGGTAAAGTACCGGCAGTCATCCTGGGCACCTCTCTGCGCAACAGGCATAAGAACAGGCTGATGGTTGGACGCCGAGGTCATGGTACAGATACGATAGTTGCCCGCGGGGAGACCTCCCGTCACGTCGGTCGACAGAGTACCAGCTCCGTTGCCGGCATCATTAATACCCTTGAAGAAGGCGAACTGTCGAGCATCGAGCGGCTCTGTGGGGTTCAATGTGTTGCCCGTGTTCTGAACGGTGACGTGGGTGTGACCAATAACTCTACCAGAGCCATCGACGTCCTGAGGAGCTGAGTAGTAAGTGCTGGTAGCATTGGTAAAGGAACCCAGCGCAATGTTATTCAACTTGACCTGAATAGTGAAGGTCTTGCTGGCCTGGATATTGTCGTTGTTCTTGGGGTTGAGGATAACGGCGGAAATCATCCGGTCGGTGGAAGGAATTTTGCCCATGGCTGCAAATTGTTAGTGGGTGTCTTGATATGTCTCTAGATAGTCCACGTACGAATGCCGTTGCAGGAGCCAGACTTGATTTGTTGACCGTTCGTCAAGGTCTGGCCATTACAGAAGTTGATGAAGTTGGCTTTGTCGCTGTTGCAAAGTCAGTGAGAACATCGCAGAATTCATGATATTGCCTTTAACGCACGTCTTGGAGTTGACCTGGCCATCTGCCGCCCCAGCACCGCTCTGACCCGTCGATGCAGAACCCGTCTGGATGGCACCCGGAGCCAGACAGGTATTGGCTTGTTGTTGGTTATTGCCTCCCTTGTTGGCATTGTTTCCCGCATTTCCACCCTGGTTGCGGTTTCCACCACCAAATTTACCGTTACGGTTCTGCCTTTGCTCGAGTGTCGAGAAGTCGGTGTTGGGAACAATGGCTGCGTCGGTGACCATGGCCAAGCCCAAGAGGGCAGTAAGAGCGGTCTTCATCAGCATGTTGATAGTTGATATTGAAGCTTCGCCGCGAAATCTCGGATTCGGTAAGGATTTAGGAATGAGATAACCAGGCACCTGGAGCGTACGGGAGTCGAAGTAAAGCGTAAGACGTAAAGTGTCAAAAATGGTTCCAGACCGTAATATCAAAGCTGACTGAAAGAAGAGAATGATTAACTGACACCCGGTGTCGGCTAATTGGGTATATACAACGTGCGTCGAAAAGGAACGAATGAAAGAAACACGCTACCACCACAACAAGCAAAAATAAAGCATGCAAAGGAAGAGAAGGGAGAGAGGGAGAAGTAATATAGAAAGCTGGGCATGCTGAGGCACCAACCCATGGTCATCGTTTCTTATTGCCTGGCTAGCCAAGAAGTTTGTTCCACGAGACTACGACAGGCTGCCGGCCAGGGTAGGAATCTGTCTTGTGTAACCCTCCCCCAGTCTATCAACCGACCGTTCTCTATAGCCGTTCTTTGCCCGTGGAACCAGTACTAAATCGCATCCTGGATTGAGCAGCAGGAGGTCGGAACGGACGGAGAGGGGTTTGGGGGTTGTGTGTCTCCACGATCTCAAACGTGATACAAGGGTATCGCAAGAAGAGGGCGTCTGCGCCGAACTGTCAACGGAGGTAGCAGTAGAGTGAAAGGTAGCATGGAAAGGGGCTGCCAACGGTCAAACTGACTGCATAGACATCCATGAATAGCTCTAGGATATACCCCATGGGGTCTTGCACTGACTTGGCGTGAAAGCCTCTCCCCAAAACGCCCGAGGATTTCGTGGTGATTGACGCCAGATATCGCGCTTGATTGAGATCTCTACAGCCCAATACGAGTCCACGATGGCCGTTCACAGCAGTCAGGAAAGTGGATATGCATCTCAAATGAAGCCCATAACGCAGAGAGTAAAAGCTATCGACGCTTTCGAACGAATCATTTCAGTTGCAAATGACGGACTCGGAGTAACATCGATGAGTGTTTGGGGAGAAAAGCAAAGAGGCTCGAGAGTGTGCAGTGGAAGAGAGGTTGATGAAGCGACTTGCGTGCCAGAAGCGACGAGGGTCCTAATAATTGTCTTGCCTTTAGCCAATCACACGAGCCGGTAAAGGGCGATCCAGCATTTGGCGTCTCGGGATGAAGCGCTAGCGAGGCGCTAGCGCGCACCCGCTCCACTCCCAAGGCAAAGAAGTTCAATGCCATGCCGGGCCGAGAGACTGCAACAACACTGTACCTAACTTCAACTTTGACCTCTCTTCATCCTCTTCCCGTCCCTATCCGTGCTAGCACAACCCGTTTCTACCTGGGCAAGGAGTTCCCAACATATCTATCAGGGACATGCAGTATTGACACAGCACAAGGTACGGATATCTGTCTATAACAACTTATACCCGAATGCCCTGCGCATCAATTCTGTATTGGGCCAAGGCAAAACCAGCCAAAGACTCCTGGTGGACGCTCCTGCATCGCGAAGAACTGGTGTCGGAACTCGTACGAAACAAAACACGCCCAACGAGACCGGACGAAAGAGCAGTGTTTGGTCTTGGCCGACCCGGATTGTAGCCGATATCCGATGTTTCTATCTCCGCGTTGTTGCCGACCTTGCCCGGCCTTCGGCATTTTTTGGTCGCCGGGACGGAAACTTTGTGTAGGACTACTTATCGCCATCTCATGCCTTTCACCTCGTCCGCAGAAGATTGGACTTCTCTACCTATTATTCAGTAAAGTATGATGATCCTTAACACTCTACCATACTCTACAGTTACGATGAGCTGACCTTCAAGCAACACTCTACTCCTCAGAGGCGTTCTATGATTTGATCAATCGAGCAAACATCGACGTCATGCTGTACCGTCTAACTGCTTCGTCTAGTTACCTAAGGCACCCAGTCCGGGAAGAAACACGGTGAGCCTCAATGAGATCAGCTCATTGATCGACCCAAATTGACGGTACATACTACAGTAGCCACGCTCAATGTCTACTGTTCAGCGCTTGAGGTTGTCCTTAACAGGCCCCCCTTGGCGCTTGTACACCGGGGATGCCCCACTTTTTCTGGGCTAGCGTCCCTAGCTGTGGACACCTCCGTATGCAGGAACAAGAGCTTAATTCCGATTATAGAACAAGGGACTGAAGGAAGGACATCGTTTCCCTCCCATCGGCCGGACTCCGCTTGATCCCTCACTGGCCGTCAACAACCTCAACAGAAATCCGTCGCATTGTTCGTTGTTCTCACCATATCAAGCTTAATTGCTCCTATCATGATATGTTTCCGGACTCAGGAGTAGGAGACGGCAAACATACCACAAAATCCAGCATGATTTCTCCACACATCAAATTTCTTTACCACAAAATAAAGTTCTAATCTCGTCCGTTCTTAAGAGGCCACTCGAGGTCAAGGCAAACTGTCAGACGCATCAGTTCCATGGGCTTGTTTCTTCATTGGAAACAGTGCACCGCTGATGTCTGAGGTAGCGCCCACGCGTGCTTCTCACCCAACGGCACGGTTAAGACGGCACAAATTATCAATTTAAGGAATTAGATCGTCAATCCAATATTCTCTTCAGTTGAAAACCTATACACTGACTGTCTGTGCTGCTGACAATTGCCTTTAGGCTACTATCAACCCTCGGAATTCGAAACATAATACTGTCCGCCCGCATCTATATGAACTCTGGCCAAGACCGATTCGCACCAAGGATGTAACTCGGCCCTTGTTCATCTTGAGACATGTTGTGTCCCCGGGGTCCAGAAGGTAACATTGATGTTCACTCCCAAAACCCCATCTTCTTATTCATAGCGTTTCAATACTATACGCTTGGGCCGAGTGGGACTTTAGCAGTCGGTTTTCGGTACTCTCACGTGGAAGCGGGCTTTTTACATCCTTGTGACCGTTGGATTTGTGATGATGACAGATGAGCATCGGAATTCAACTTTCGAAGACCTCCTGGAATTGTGATTCCGATACCGAGCCGATGTTGTGCAGCGTACCCAATCAACCCCCAACTGTTTCAAAGGTGATGTTGGCACTTGAATGTTGCTTGTCTGTTTAACCACAGACGTGATGATAACATCAGCCACCAGCGGAACGGCCGCCCTTCCTCATTGTCTTCTAGCCTTAACGGGATACCCGATTCGGTTTCTCATGGTGTGTTGTCTTTGAAGAAACCCACCTTGGAACCCCTGAACCCCAAGATATGTATCGGGTGCTTGGCTCCATGCGTCGGACTTGATACAACGTGATCATTGTCGTTGTACTCTAAGGAGGACTTCAGTCCCTTTTCAAGTGGGGTCAATCGCTTGGCTGAACGGAAGATTATCAGAACGAAACATGGCTACCGAGGACCAGCGAAATGTTTGGCCAACCTGGCAGGAAAGTCGACAATGTTGACCAATGTGTGCATGAGGGATGGTTAGTCAATGATATTGTTCGATGTTAATTTGGGGAATGGGGCGTGTCAAGTTCCTATTCGGTGCGCAAAGGAGAACCTCATCCAAACATCTGGCATCTGATCTGGTAAATCTACACCTAACGCTCTGAGGGTATCTTAGGCACGTTAATGTATACTTTGCATACATACATGGCAGGCAGACATATACTTGTACACAAAATACCATAGACCTACATGACGCAACAATTGCAGACGTGGGCATGCATTTCGTTATCCATTAGCATCACCTACTTCTCAGTCGACACCCAAACATTACCCGGCACCCTGAGCCATACAATCGTCTAATTCTGTACCCAATCAAAGAACACGCTGCATCTCTTCCCAAGCCTGATATCTTCAACCAACGAACCGTTGCCAAGACGCATTTGCGAAACGCTCATCCCCGGTCATGATTCATACTCTTCCAACGCCAAGGCCCACGACAAACACCCTCCACCAGGCCTGTTTCATAGGTCGCCCAACATCATCGGCTTTTGTTCCGCAGTAACAACGTCCGGCCGCTTTGGTAGGGTTGGTGGGCTTATTGTCTCGTTCTTCTCAATACCGGAGACGATGAGATCGAGCCAGGCAGCCAGACGGTAGCCGGCCTTTGCGATCTGCAACTCGACGATGGGGGCGGCGGCTTCGAAGTAGGCACCACCGAGCTCCTGGTCGCGGATGGCCTCGGGGCCTTCGGGGAGGACTAGTCAAGGAAGTAGTGTTAAGCAACGGTTCCCTGACGGATACCAAGAAAGAGAGGTACAGGGACGGAACGAAGAGAACTTACCAACAGTGCAAACATGCTCGTTCCCCTCAATCGCCCACTGCAGCGCAATCTCGCTCGCCTCCTTCAGCTCCAACCCCTTCACCCAATCACTGCTATTCGCCTTGTACTGGCCCTCCCTGATCTCCTCCGCCAACGCATCTGCCCACTTCTTGGCCGCGGGAAAGGGCCTCCTACCAACACCCTGCTTCTTGTGCGTAACGATTTTCTCGGCAATGCTCGAGTCCCAAACATGGTGCAGGTTGAACCGCTTCTCATCAAAGAACACCGAGATCCCGTTTCCTCCCTTCTCCACGTCCTCCGTGTGCAGCGGCTGGTGGATGTCCCCGACAAAGTGAATCACGAACTTGGCCGCCTGCGCGCGCTCGACCACGTGTAGGCTTTGGTCCAAAAGGCGAGAGGTGTAGTTTTGAATGGCGCTGACCACACAACCCTCGGGCTTGCAGTCACGCTCGTAGATGATGCCGCATGAATCGGGGGGTGAGTCCTTCGCGTCGATGTAGTGCAGGGGCCCCGTCCAACGACCCCATTTGGTGTACCGGATCGAGTCGGCCCAGGTGGCTACGTTGGCGAGGTAGTCAGAGGTGTCGTTGCGCAGGAGGGTTTGGAAGTAGGAGGCGGTGGAGTTGGAGACGAAGTTGCTGGCGACGTAGGCGACGGTGATGTGTCCGAAGCCTGTTGTTGTTGTAGGCGACGTATGTTAGCGATGTTCCATCTCTTGAGTGCGATTCGCGAATGTTGGGGGGGAATGGTAAGGAAGGGGAATTGGTGTTCTTTCGTACCTCCCCATGCTGAAGCCCCTCCGGCTAAGAAGGCGGAGGAGCTCAGTATGACTGATGATAGCTTCATGGTGGTGTCTTTGCGCTCAGCTACTGTACTGCTAGTTAAGAGATGGTGACGGATATACCGGACAAGCTTCGCAACGCTGCCGGGAGGAAAACAATTTGGGGACAAAACCACAGCAAGTGAACGAGAATGATTCACTCGAGGACGGGAATGTTTGGTGGAAAGATTGTCTGATCCATCTTCAAGATCCAAACACGCGCTCAGCTCACTTGATGTCCCCCAGTCGATCAGCTGCACCACCCTGGGGTCCGATGGCGATAAGCGTTGATACCGCCCCTTTTCAGCGGCGTCATGACTGTCCCTAGCATCGGAACCAACCCATCTACCATTGCGGGACGCTGGTACCGGCGCCATCAGCTTGGACCAGGCATGGCTGATCAATAAACTCCGAGTCCTCTAGTGTACACTAAACACGCGGGGGTTGTTGCTACGGGGATGCTGTAGCGAATGAACGCGGGGCGATAAATCCCACGTGAGCCTATCATATCTGGTGTCGTTTAATCTTTGGAATGGCTTGTGCTTGTCGAGTGCTGGCAGTGCTTGTTTCTCCCCCCCGTCTCTCGTGTTTTCCTTCTTCTCGTTGTTCTTCTTCTCCATCTATGAGCACCTATACACCTCTACTGACGGGAAACCCCATGTAATCAGTGCAGCAAGTTTGATAGAGCGGATGTGCAATGTGATGAACGAGGCAGCAGTTCGGACGCAGACTCGACTTCTAACTTGAGAAGTCGAGGTTGAGGTGTTGGTCTTGGCATGATGACAAAGTCTCCACCCGTGCCGCCGAAAAGAGGGCATCCACGAAGAGGTTTCAATTGCTCGTCACTGGTTGGACGGCGGGCTAAACGATTGGCCATATCAGGCGACCGGAGCCGTCAAAGACCCCACCTTCCCCATATTTCTCCATTCCCTTACAGCACCAGGGCCGGGCAGGATGGGTCAGAGCTGAGCGAGAGGGCCCTCCTTGTGATGCAATCCCATGAACCCATGTGCCTCCCGTCAATGGAAGGTCGCTCAAAGGTCCTCCAACCACAACAGCGACAAGGGAAAGAGAAAAAAAAAAAGCCCGAAAGCCGCAGGAAAAAAAAACTGCGAACTGAATAAATGCTACGCTGGCGCAGGACGGCGTATCTTGGTACACTGCATACTACAATCCCGCAGCACGGGACAAACGGTGACGCTTGTGATAGTTTTTAGTGTAAATGGCACTTGGATGGCTACGTTATGCCATTTTCGGTATCAGCCAGAGCCACATCTTTGCCTTATCTCTCGAGTCAATCGCCTCTTGATAACGACCTGCCCTGAGACCTGCCCGCTGACTCGAACTGACAATGACTCTTTCCCTTTTCTCTTACAACTGTACTTTTAAGTTCCTGTTGCCATCATTTGGCTATTTCTCCAGTGCGCGCAAGAACTGATCGACACCAACATCGACTGCATTCAGCGGGTTAGACTCAGTCCGTTTCGGTATTCGAGCAGGAATCGACCCTGCCTGGGGAACAATCAACCTCTGGTTATCCGTTCAACTTTCCACTCTTGTTGCTGGCGACATGGAAGCCCTCTCCAAAGCGCCCGATGTGGGCGAGGCACTCTCGGGAGTGTTTGGAAGTGTCAGCTTGACGGCCTGGATATGTCTTTTGGTGAGCATGTCCATCTTGCTGCTTTCCCTTTCTAACGGCTTGCCATTGCCATTCTAAATCATAATGCTAACCGTTGTCCTCAACCCCAGCTGCCACAACTGATTACAAACTACAAGGCCAAGAGCGCTGACGGCCTATCCATGAACTTCCTGATCATATGGCTGTTGGGCGACATAGCGAATCTGCTTGGTAAGTGGCAATCAGCCTACCGTACCTACCTCCGATGTTCTGCTCTCGAGGTACTCAAGGTACGAGTACTGCCAATCATTTGTTCGGCTGTTGATTATCATCTTTTTCGATACAGGCGCACTCTGGACAAGTTTGGCACCAACCGCTGTAGCACTTGCCTTGTATTTTTGTTTCGCCGACCTGGTCCTCATTGGCCAATGCAGCTACTACAACGCCGTTAACGCCCGCCGCCGCAGCCGCATCGAAAGACATGCCCGAAGTGCACGACATTCCTCTGCCGAGACACAAGAAACCGACACAACGGCTGTAGAGGACCCTTCTGAGCACGACCCGTTGCTGGATCATGAGCACCCGCGTCGGTCGCGCAGCGATTCTACGGGATTGCCCGGCTCTCACCGTCGGCACTCGATGCGCCACAGGGAGAGCACTCTCGATCCATTGACCAGAATCGTCACAGGTGAAGACGAAACTCCTGACAGCAATCCTTGGCTGCACAACACCCTGAGCTTGGTAGCTGTTTGGGTCGTCGGCGCTGCAGGCTGGTTCATCAGCTACAAGATGGGTGCGTGGGACGTTGAGGAAGGGTTACCCGATGGTGGAGACAACACGATTTCCCAAGAGCCACAGGCCGTCATTGGCATGATCCTGGGCTATTTCAGCGCCATCTGTTACCTGTGGTACGTATCCAGTCCTGTTGTCTCAGCCCATTCACTCGGTGTCACCACTGGGCTTGAGAAGCTAACCAATTCCATAGCGCTCGAATCCCTCAGATCATCAAGAATTACCGTGAGAAGTCTTGCGAAGGTCTTGCCCTGTTGTTTTTCCTGCTCTCGCTCACGGGCAACCTCACATATGGAGCAAGCGTTATCGCCTACTCTCAGGAAAGAGACTATATTGTCAGAGCCCTTCCTTGGCTTCTGGGCTCGCTCGGTACTATGCTGGAAGACTTGATCATCTTTGCCCAGTTCAGACTCTACTCGCCGCAACGCGAGCCAAAGACGCACCATACCGCCTGAAGAGCTGGCTCTTCGCTTACACGAAGCAAACGACACGCATTTGCTGGGAGAAACGGCCTGTTTCGAGGATAAGAATCAGCGTTCATGAGTTCAATGGAATTATCTGTCAACGGTATGTGATGGATGCTTTTTGGTTAATTAGGTTTTGTCATCTGCTTTTTTCTTCTCCATTTTCTGTCCTTTTCTTTTGTCGAGTGCATTTTGCCTCATTTTGATCGGGATGGCATGTTAAATTTCAAGAACGGTTAGGGCAAGGCGTAAGAATGATGGAGACAATGAATTTTCCCCGCATTTTCTCCGAGCTTTACACATCCCCGCTGCATTCTTTCATTTTCAGTGCTATCTATCTAGTTTGGGGTCTTTTGAGTTTCGGGCTGTCGTACGTATCCTTTTCTCCCTTTCTGACAGGTATAACTTTGGGTTGGTGCTTCTTTCCGGTTTTATTTATGGTGAAGTTCGCTGCCGGGTTGCTTCCTGTGACTTTTCTCCCGATTTACCTTTCCCTTGCAGCGAACCGCTCCCGGTATTCAAGGACGATGGTGCGGATGCTAAGTTCCTGTCGAATTCCCACGCGGGTTGGCTTCCTCCGGCAATGGCACTTTAAGTCCGGCCATTAGATCATACAGGTGATACCTACTGTATTGATCTCTGGGATGCGATGATGAATGGGACCCCTTTCTTCTACTTGGCCCCTGCAAAAAGTTCGTCAGTTTGTCTGCTCCTGCTGTTCAATGGTGGCTAGAACGTTGTGCGGCCATGCGATTCGCGAGACTCGACGGATAACTAGACTTACCGGCCGGATCACAACATCCGATTTCAGGACGATCAAAGTTGGACATAAGCGGATGTCCCTTCTCATGAGAGTCCCATCACATATCGGTCAATCTCTGAGCAGTCACGGCCCTCAATGCACAGTCAAACCACCTTCTGGCGTATGGCAAAGGTTTTATGTTGCTCTTTGGCAAGCCCGGAATACATGACGGAACCCGTGTCTCTTCCTCTTGAACCCAAGCTTTCGGGATTTAATTCAACGAACGCCTGTCCTGATCAATCTCGCAACTCGCCAAACTTCTTGTCCCACGTATGCAACATCTGATATTACGCCGCAGCCATTCTTCAAGTTTAGACCAAGAAATTCATCATCGCCACGATGCCGCCCACCGAGGACATACAGTACGCACCGCCTGGATCGTATCTAGCTTACAAGCGCAATTCGAAACTCCTGCTTTGTTGGATTGTCCGCACTGTTCAATCAATTATCAAATTTTGGGAAACGACTCGGCAACATGATCTTAACCTGACCTTGTTGGAAGTTCCCAGCGCTGGTCTACCAGGGCAGAAACGACCGAAAGAGTTGCTTGCTAATCCAGGCCGAGCGGGATTCTTTAACCGGTCCAGACTCTACAACTTTTGCAGGTTCATTAGCCTCCATGTGGATGTTATCCCACCTTCTATTCTGGCCTTGTTCCTTCATATCATCCACACAAGAGTCACTGCTTTGACTACATGGCAGGCGCTCGCAGCCAGGCGCCCACGCCCCGAAGAGATGGAGAATTTCCGAACGCTTGAGACTGATATTCGCGCCTTTTGGGTGGCCTTCAATGGCCTCAGAGGCTTTCATTGGATGTCAACTTCCCCGGGAGAGCAAGAGGTTTCGTCCATTTTGAAGTACAACACACCGGAGACCGAAGAAGATATCAATTATTTGGTCCCCGACAGATTTCCCATCCGCTTTCATCCTGAAGCTGAGAAAGGCAAGCCCGGGCGTCGCAACAAGTCAAAGACACCAGAAAAGGAAGCCAAATTCAACAAGATCAAGGACAGTCTCCCGCCTGATGACTTCCCACTAAGTCACTTTGACATCGATGACCCTTGCTATACGAACGGCCGTTTCAACTCCGAAGGGAACGCCTGGGGTATGGCAGCTTACGACCTGTTCAAGGAGTTCATGCACCTCAGAAACTTTCTCCACGATACCTGGGTAGAGGTTGTCTTCGATGGCCTCAACAGCACCGTGGCCGGGGCAATTGGTATTGCGGCCATGAATTTGATTGTCAAATACCGTCACGACAATATTCCTGAAGAATTAGGTTACATCAGCATGATCGACTACTTAACGGGTTATCAAAATCCTGATGATAATGTTCAACCATTTTTTGCGTCCGTCTACCGCGTTCATGGCGATGGCTCATGTTCAGGAAAGACTGAAAATCAGAGTGTGGATATGAAGGAACAGTTCATGATATACACGTTCGAATCGCTTTTTGAGTTCCTTTCCGATTTTCGCACCACACAAACCGGAAAGCCCACCGAGCGCATGGCAAAGCTTCTCCAGAGCTGGGATTCCAGCGCCGACCTAATGGTACTTACAAAGGAAGAATACCTACAGTGGCGTCATCTATATACCATCAAGCTTCTTTACTCGCTTTTTGACGAATATGTTGCCCCTATATTGAAATCGAAAGAATTCGACGGAGATTGGGAAAATGTCATCTGGGGCCCAAAAGGCCCATCCGAAGATGACTTGAGTGGATCAGGTTCATATCAGCATAGAGCCTTCTTGTCCAGCATCATTAAACTTGCCATGGAAAAACCCTCGTCCACCGGTGAATCAACTCGACACAACATTCAGCCTACCACAGTCTTCATACTACAACACATGGTGGATTCCTTTACTGTGTCAAGGGGCTGGATGAATAACCCTCTCTGGGGGCCTATTTTTGTCCAGCCGCCTTCTTCCGATGACTTCTTTCCCGCACGTGATTTGGCGCTGTTCTTGGGTGTCAAGCTTGACGACTCTATGAATCTTGGGCCCGGGTTTTGGACTTCTTTACACTTGCTGGACGAAGATCTACGTACTGGAGAGGACCAGAAAATCGAGCAGACCCATTTTCTAAAGCATGCGGCTAGAGTTTGCTCCGCTGCCCTGGAGTTTCGCTCCACAAGACAGGACCAAGGCGCGGGTTCAAATTTCCTGTGGGGTTGCTCCCCCTTCCATTGCGCTGAAGTCCTTGTGCAGAGCCTGACAAATTTCGATCATATCTCCAGAGTACTCTACCCTGGTTTCACGAATGAGCCTGTACTCCTGGTACACTTGTACAATATGTTGGTTACTGAAGGATACACGGATAAGGCACCTCAGGCATTTCTCATCTTAAAGGTTATTTTTGACAATTTGTTGATCGAGGAGGCAAGGACACCGGAATATGGTGCCTACTACGACCGAGCCTTGAACAACGCCCTAAATTGCTTTAGCACGTGGTTTCCCCTTTCGGTATTTAATCATCTGTACGTTCAAAACTACAGAGTTGAAAGGATCGGACGCCTAGAGAATCTGCAAAGATTCATGGAGGACACTACCGCCGGTGAAGAGAAACGGGCCATGCAGGTCAAGGGGCATGGCTCAAGCAACAATCACAGATTTATCATCAAAGGTGGCCGTGACCGGGCGAAGACAATCATGGAAGGAATACAGGCCGTCGACTTCAAGCTCAATGAATTAGTTCCTGGAAAGCTGCTCGAAGGGCCGGGTGGCAGCAAGGTCGTGGTGAACTTTCGCGATGTCCTTGAACTGTTGAAGACCGAGGTCATCATCGGCGTACATGGCAGTCATTGCCTTGACGCTGTGAACCGCTTGTGGGTTACTGCGCGGTCGATTATTCTGTTCCATTCCATCGAGAGACAACTGGCCGCTGCGAAGGACCCGTTGTATCTAAGCATATACGGAGACCCCGACACGAAGGAGGTTGAAAACTCAAAGAAGGACGAAATTGGTGGGAATGGAGGGGGGCGAGAGAATGCCTTAGCTACCAAGCGTGTGCGTCTCACAATGCGTCTCTTGTCGCGTGAACTGAAACCGCCTGGGACGAAGACCGCGATAGAGATTGCCGTTAAAGCGTTTGAGGACGAGAAGCTTACCAACTTTCCGTGCACGTACTGGGGGGATGAGGCAGACTTGGGAATGAAGAGCGATGATGGCATAATACAGCGTCTGGAGAAGGGGCTAGCAAGTGTATCATGTCCGTTCATGTAACATTGTCAAGGAATCGTTCTGTATAATAGTGGCGAAAGCCAGTGTTGTCGTATAAAATGGGCTTCACAGCGAAACAAAATTGTAATCAAGTTCTTTTGATAGACTTCCATGTATCCAATACGCAGACATTACACGAGATTGTTGCGTTCCTCGTTTATATGATCCCCGACGCCGATTGTGCTGGGTGATGATGGTCTACATCAAACAATAAAAGAAGCAAATCGCAAAACCCGCCATCAATCCCTGTTCAACGCCATCCAACCCCCCAAAGACTCCGTTACTCGACGCAGATAAAGAAAATACTCCATTATCACAATCTCGAATGATCGCACCAACTCGCATACTCTACCGGGGCTCCTGTTCCTATCGGAGTGGGGGTCTGAACGATGAACTCAAACTGTTGTTGCTGTTGTGCTTGCGTTGCCGGGACATTTGAGAAGTTGAAGACCAAGCCCTGATTGACCACAGGCATGTAGATGCCGTTCAGCGACAACGATTGTGGCGAGGGTGACGACGACGAGAATGACGACGACATGGATGGCGAAGGGGAAGGTGAGGAAGTAGAAGTAGAAGCATAACTCATACTCATAGGTCCCGCTGATGGTACCATGAGATCAGCAGCGCAAGAACCCCAAGCACAGTCCATGTCTCCCGAACAATTGTAGCCGTTGTTTCCGAAAGAAAATAACTCGAAATTAGCGGCATCCGCCGCCGCCGCAGCCGTCGTCGTCGTCGTCGTCGTCGTCGGGAATGAGGACGTCCCCGTTGACAGTGCTGATGGTGGAAGGAGAAACCCAAGGCCGGACCCTTGGGTGGAAGTAGACTCGATGTCTGATAGCGAAAGTGGAGAGCGAGTGAAGCATTGTCCGAGCTCGGGGGTAAGTTGGCTTGAGGTGGGTGGTGTAGGGGATAGGTATCGTGGTTTACTTGTCATCGACATAGGGCTCGGAATCGCTTTTGTTGGTGTTGTTGTTGTGGTGGTGGTGGTGGTGGTAGTGGCCCTCTTGGTTCTAGGTCTGATGATGTTGGGTGTTGAAGACCTGGAGCGAGAGGAGGAAGGGGATGAAGCAGAAGAAGAAGAAGCAGATTTCTGTCTGCGACGGAGAATACTATAACGGTTTTTGGCGGCTAGAGAGGTGCGGTTGGGAAAGTGAGTGTTGACGATCTCGGTCCAGTTGCGCCCTCGTTGGGAAACGATTTGGAGAAGAAGGATATCCTGGGGATAGTTGGTTAGTCAAGCGTATGGGGCAGAGAATGATTTATTTTTTTCTCACCTCTTCCGGCGTCCACGGACTTCTATCAATCTTGGGGTCAAGACAATCATACCAGCGCTTCCAACACTGGTCTCCGTTGCGTGAACCCACCACCTGAGCAACCTTGCTCCAGCGCGGGCCGTGACTGTCAAAGGCCTCGCGCAGCCTTTGGTCTTCCTCTCTGGTCCAGGTGCCCTTGCGAATGTTATGGGCTACGTTGTAGTGCCAACGTTTTCGGCAGTCTTTGTTGTTCCGTCGGGAGAGGTGGGAGGCGACTTTGCACCAGTTGATGGAACCGCTGGCTGGTGTTTCTGTTAATCAGGGACAAGGAAAGGTCAGCAAACCGATACAAGGTGAATTATGCAACTAGGGTCCATGGAGCTCTTCTTGCCCTTCGTCACGGCTTCAGCAAGCAACCTATCCTCCTCTGGCGTCCAAACCTGCCGAGGCTTAGACTCGGTCTGTGGCAATGGAGAGGTACTGCGTGGAGAGTACATGAAGAACTGGGATATACTAGACATGGGAACAGTATGCTTATGTGTTGTTATTGTTTTGGTGGCGTTGATGTGGTATCTTGAGCTGAGCGTGATGATGGTGGGTAAACAGTGAGCGTGAAGAATGAAGAATTCGCCGAAAGAGCATACTTATATGAGAAGACGAGAGAGAATTCATGTGTCTCTGTGTCAAGCTTAGCTACCCCCATAGAGCGAAAGGCTCCGGCCAAGTAGTGAGAACTAGTCCCCCCCTGGTGTAAGTGATACAACGTCCATGATAGATCGCCGCAACAACACTAGGCTACCTAGCCTCTGATGTCTGCGAGAGAGTAGGCACATCTCATCCTTCAACAAGATCCTAGTTTCGGATATGCAGCCCTATGGGCCATCCCCACGCCCGCTCTCGTGTTGTTGCCCGTCACCAAGCGGCATCTTCCTGGCGTCTAGAGTCGCATGCAAGTCATCTCGTCCCACTTGTTTCGTGGTACTCTTGGGTAGATCTGCTGTCGAGCATTAGCCTGATATCTAGCGAGCAGCTGTGCCAGAATGTTTCACGGGTAGTTACATGGTGAATGCTCACGTCAACAAGCTGTCGTCATGTACAGTGTCTGAGCTCCGTGGGCCATTTAGAGCTTGAGCGCCAAGGTCGAAACCGGTCTGGCACGTTAAAGTACTACCTCGAAATCATGGTACGACAAGAGAATACCCCAGGCAGCCGGATATTCCATTTAGAGCGACCTAGTAAGCTCTCATAGGTCGAGAAAGAATGGCCCGGTAAGTGAAGCCAAGGAAGAGCAGTCCGATGGTCCCCGACCGAGTGTTTAACGCTCCGGTTTTCGACGGCGGTATAGACTCGGGACGGCCTCTGGCTGTTTGGAGATGCATCTTGCGGGCAAAAGTCACGAGGGAGAGTACAGAAAATGGGGCGGAGGCGCGTGGAGGGGGGCTTGGCTTCAGGTAAGCAGGCAGCAAGGTATTTGATGTTGTGTAACGCGACAAGCCAACGGAAAGAAGGCGACGTAAAGACTTTGAACCTTCCTGCGGTGCTTCCACTGGGCCGCTTTTCGTCCAACGATGAAAAGGCTATCAGGAACCCGAATGTACAGGACGGGAGAGGGATTGGATCTGGAGTGGCGGTGACCTTAACTAATCCACTGCCTTTTACTCCCGTAGTAAATACCTTCTATCCTGTGGGGGGACAGCTGAAGCCAAGCCAGCCACATCGGGGCGCCACAAGACAATAAGGGGCCGACTTGATATACAAGACATGATGCCATTGCAAAGCAAGATATCTCACCAGGGAACAATTAACTCCAAATTGATATTACTGACCTCAACTGTTGTGGTAAGCACAGAAGTGGAAACGCTGAAGTCCTCCCCAATACCCCATCCGGTTTCTTAATTCCGTGTCTCAATTCAATAGCGAGTCTTCCTCCTGACTACACACGAGACAGCCACTGGCTGATAGGGATTCCTCACTGCTTCAGATTCCCTGCCAAACTTGGGCTGGAGCTGCCCGCCTGTCCCAAGAGGTGCCGGGCTCGTAGGGCTGGTAAGTAACACAACCTACGCCCACTTCTTTCGTCTCTTCGGACCGTTAGAATGTTTTTTTGCACTCCTGAAAGGAGGAGAATGTATGAAAGCGGCGAATACCGTGACACAATGAATTAGGGTGCCTGCTACGCGGACATAGGCCACATTTAAACTTCCACAAATAAGCTCCCTGCATCGTGTCTTGTGTTCATGTTACCCTAGTTTGGCTGCTCCTCCTTTGGGGGTCCGGACTGGAGGATACGTACATACATACACCAGCCTCATCGAAGTTGTGGGTGTTTATTTGGGTCCCGAGGCAGGACAGCATCCTCTTTGCCCCAACTTCGGCTTGGACAATTGTAAGTGCTAGAGGAAAAATCCTCCTGGTACCATGGACGCGTCTATTTAGGGTACTTTGACATCGAATATCGTATAGAATTTCGCAGAAAATCCAAAGTTTTTTTTTCGACGTACCTATTTAATCGGCAACCAAGTACGACACAAACAGAACTTAGGAAGCTTAAGAGTACCTTTGCCTAAGTGAGATTGTTCAACCATCATGAGGACGGCAAGTTGAAAAAAAAAAAAAAAAAAAAAAAAAAAAGCGCCACGTCCGTGGAGTGTTACACATGCGATCCAGTATGGAGTGAGATCTTTCCCCTTTCAGAAGACGAGTTAGGTTGAATTCGTTGAGCCCGTTGTCAAAGCATTGGTGATGAGGCCCATAGTGTTCTTGTGGTCGTTCGTAAGGGATGCGTAATGTGCGCGCAATCAAGCGATAAAGCGATGTTCTTCGATATCCAAGTGTAGAAAGAGTGATGAAGCCGTGTAGGGGGAAGAATACCTCGCTGCGAGCTATTCCATCATTTTATTACAGATCGCATCGCTGTGTTCAAGATAGAAGGAAACAAGGCGGAGGCTACCGTCCCTTGTGACTTCTCCATCGCACCTTCTTTTTTGTATCGTTCCTCCCTCTAATCATCCTTTCACCAAACCACACAACACCAAAAATCACCGCCCACTCCTCCCCATCTACTCATAAGTATAACAAAACGGCCCATCAACGGTACTGACCAAGTCCCTAATCCTCCAAACCTGATCTCCAACCACTCCCAGATCCACGATATCATCCAACGTCTGCCTTGGACTGTTCACTGGATCAAACATAGCCGTGCCACCAGCAATCTGCTCAGTCCGGTTCTCCAAGTCCAGCCACTGCCAGATAGCCCAAGTTCGATCAATGCCCGCATGGTGATTAAAAAACGCCGGATCATTAGGGCTGGTGTAAAAATCGCCTCCTGGGTCGCCGCCAATGGTGTGATGTCCGCTAGCATGGATGCCCATGAGCGGCATCCCGTTGTGTTCGGCTGGGTTGTAAGTGCCCTCGACTTCCCAGGGCCGCGCTGTCACAGCCTGCATGCGGTCTTGAAAGGCGAGGATGTCGGAGGAATCGGTGATCAGGCTCACCATGTCTTCGGTGCGGGTATAACGCGAGGAAAGATAGTTGGTGATGTCGCGGCGAACACAGCGCGGGTTGTCGCCCATGCCGTTAGGAAGGGGGTTGGCAACGGGAGCAGGTTTGAGTATTGGGGAGAGAGGGCCTAGGCGGGCGGTCATACTGAGTTGATCGCTAGGTTAGCAAGGGAGGGCGCAGAAGGGGGGGACACTCGCCAGTCAAGTTGGAGACTTGAGGTTTTGCGCCACCGAGCAACGGGTTAAGTGGTACAAAGATGCTTACTTGACGAATGGACCAGAGTAAATACACCCTCCGCCTGGTCCAGCTGGGTAGTAGTCGGTATCTTCATGATCGACCTTGAGACCGTTGCCGCTCAAGCTAGTGTCGCTGCCGTCGAAGAGAGGAGAGTTCACCGGATCGGATGCCCATTTGCCCCAGTTCCAGTACTGTCACAGTACGTTAGCATCGAAAATGCGGCTATGGACAGTAGTCGTAGATTTGATATGAATCATACCGGCTGTGATCCAGTGTAACCACACTCTTCCCGGAGAACTCTTTCGAAGGACCAGGTGAAATAGCGATGCCATGCAAGGAAGCTTCCCTAAAGAACAGTTAGTTTATTTGGGATTATCAGAGGCATAGAGTCCAATACTAACAGTCCCATGAATGGTCAATGTCTGGTTCATATGAACAGCCACAAAGTCATCATAGCGTGTTTTGGCTCCAGGATACTCCGTCTGGTCCAGTTGAGAAGGCTTAGACATCAAACACAGCATAGCGGCGATGTACTCTCTACGCTCAGCCTTTGAGATGTCGCCCCTGTTTTGTGTGATAAGGGTCAGCTTCATTGTCACTATTTTTTTCTGCCTTCGAGGCTGCTCTTACCATTCACGTCGAATCTCAAGGTTTTCTTTGGTGCATGTTGAGGACTTGGCAAGCCGGAGCTCAAGGTTAGCTTTACCTGTCTGCTGCAGCTCGTGGACAGCATCTTTTCCAGTCGCACCAACGAGTGATGATGCGGCAAGCACCAAAAACAGAAGTGATCGAGCCATCGACGGCATGGAGGGTTTTGTTGAAGAGAATAAAGCCAGTTGGTGTGGGACTTCGTGGTCCAAGAGCCCGGAGAGGACGAAGGGGTTATATAGGCCCAAGTCAACGCAAAATTTCACAGCTCTCCCGATCTACCGCTCTGGTCTCCGTTCAGCGTTTTGAATCCGATTTGCCGAAAACTTCGCACTTGTAATGGAGTAACAGCAGGTAATCTCCCATTCGTTGAACGGTTCAAGCGAGCTAGGACGGGGCTCCGTCAGCATGTGGCTTGCAGAATCGACTGGGAATTGCAAAGGACCTGCAGGAAGAGAATCGTGTCCATCTATGTTTCGAGGCTTGTCAAATACAACGTACCAACACAAGTCACCACGTGTCTGAATTTCCGTGCGTTGGCGAGTGTAAAGTTACGCACAAGGACAGATCTCGGGACTGCGATATACGCTGGTGAAGGTTGATGATGCTTACGGGAACCGTATCGTTGATGAACATGCATGTCAAGCGAGATACTGGAGAGAAAGTCACAGTGTCGACACCATCCTCCTGTTTTTGGAGCCCTGATGAGCACCGGTGCGACGGCCGTGGGATGACCACTTGGGCTCCCGACAACGAGGAGGTGAACAAATTCCCATCTTTACAGAACTCTGCCGACCTTTCATCTCAAAACGATGGTTACATCAACAAGAAGGCATGCCAAATGAAGTGTGAGCGACGCCGCTCAACGTAGATGAAGTCCTGGCGGCAGCCAATGCAACCCCAGAGGTTGTATTCCTACACTCAATCGCCTGTGCAGTCTTGGCGGGGTGTGTGCGTGCACACACACACACACACACCGCACTTCTGTATTATACAACTTCGTTAAAATTCATTATTTAACAATAATTTCTAAATTATTTTGAAGCTATTTCAATGTGCAAAGTAATCAAAATACTAGTAATTAATCAAATTTATTACAATAATACCTCCTAAAACGATTCTTAATTTAAAATCC